CCTGCTTAGCCCCCTGAGTTCAGGTCAGCTTTGTGAAATGGCCCATTTCTCGGCTAGTATGCCGACAGGCCGATAGGATCACCATCATTCCTTCACATACTGTACAGTAGCATGTGACGTGCGCTTGTTCGAAAAAATACCCCAGTGAAGGGACCCCAAGAATTGATTGCAAAGGGTGGGCGTCAAAGCAGTAGATGGATACGCGCACCAATATTGCCGCCTTATTGACGTGTTCACGACAACAATTTTCAAGCTGTAACATTCAACACATGCATTTATACACATTCCTATGGATTCCCTCCAGCTGACGCATGAGGACAATCAAATCCGAAGGCCAGATCAAGTCTGCCGTCATCGAACCTTGGATATCTTTAACAAGTGAGGGCTTCGCATATGGAAGAAGTTGTGCCTTCTGACGTTCATGTAATCTTGAACTGCCAAAATTTGGTGCGCCTCCGCAGCATGTTGCATTTATACCCTTGCGCCAGCACAGAAAAAGGTTATGTGCCTTAGGACGGCTGCCTTCGTGCTGCTTTTTGTGCATTCCGCTCTGTTTCGATGCACCTTGCTGAGGACAAAAAGAAACTGATCGACACCCACTACGGTGCCATTGCTGCGAAGGCAGTGATGCTGAAGCCCAAGGACCTCGTTGTGCAGGAGAAGTCCCAGGAGGAATTTGAGAAGATGTTGCTTAGCTGGCCAGGATTCTCATGAGTTAACAAGTCAGAAGGTGCAGCTGATTTTCTTGATTTTTCAGTTTTTAATCAAATTTATATAATTTATCCATTTCATTCAAGTTGGAACCTGTTGAACAAGGTTTGGAGTGAAGTGGAACAAGGTCATGGAGGATGGCCTGGTCTTCAACGCCATGGATGGAGCCAAGAAGTTGGGCATCTCTCCTGATGAGCTCGGCAAGAAGTACGATGCATTGAAGAAGGGCGAGACCATCATCAAGTTCGGTGGTGGCTTCTACTGCGGAAAAGTGGATGATATCTACGCTGCTCGGGCTCTCATAGCACAAGATTGTCGTGTTTTCCATTTTGTTTTTCTTTCCTCTTGTTCTGCTGGAGCCGGTCTGTCTTGATTTGTCTTAGATCTTGTCCGCATCTTGTGATGGTTGGAGGGATCAAGGACGTCACGTTCAGGTCATCAACGGCTTCTACATGAACATGAGGTCCAAGTTCACGGCCCCAGGAACCAGCATCTACTACTACGAGGCATGGCCGCTTCCTGTGTTCGGAGATAGTGGTGGATCGTGGGAAATCACACACAATAGAATGTGGGGATGTGTGGGGACAGTGACCCAAAAAGACCAAGATAGACCAAGACTACGCAGAACGTGGGCTTTGAAACAAAGCAGTTGATGCAGTTGATGCATTTTGATGCAGTTGGCAGGTCGAATGGCCAGCAGAGAAGATGTCGTGGGCCGACTTCCGTGGAAAGCTCCTGGGCCCCACGGACCCCGCCAGCGCCCCGGAGGGATCCCTGCGCCAGCAGATCTACAGCAAGTGGTCCGAGCTGGGCCGCTCGGCCACGGGGCCAAGGGGTGTTCAAATGGTGTGGGGTCATCGTGGATTGCAGCATTATATAGATGAATCATGGGTGCAGGAGTTTACATCTATATTATCTATATTATATAATTGGATCACGGCTACAATTACTTGTGCATAGAGCTTATTGAAAGCCCTCAGAAGCATTCAGAAGCACAGCAGCAGGAACAGTTTTTTTCTTAATGGGTGAGGCGGTGCAGGTCGTTCTACTTTAGCCGAACCGATTGGCTCACTCTGTGATGAACTCTTCAAGGGCACTTGAAATAGGAAGGATACCACCGTTTCATTTGCCCAAGTAAGTCTCAAGAAAGTTCGGATCTCTCCTGGCTAGGCCATGCTAGGCCAACTTTGGGCCCTGCACAATGTGGTTTCATCATGTTTCATCCCTTCTCAAAACCACACAAGTCGACCTTTCTTCCGGTATTTCCCCTCAGATTTCATGGGATCCTGGATGCTGAGGACTAACGGCTCAGCCTGTGACTCGCATCAATTCTGGGAGTGGGGAAGTGGATCTGACAGAAATTTTGCATCACCGCAACACCCGCAACACCCCCAACACCCTCAACACCCAGTTTTCTTCTGAGATCGCTGGATTAGGGATAAGGATTCTCCGACTGAGGTATGTTGGGAGTGCCAGGATTTCAATCGACTTCACAATTCTGGTGACACAGCAGATGTGCCGCAGTTTGGCTGAGCCAAGGACACCGGTGACAATGGCGTGCACGCCTCTGCCAGCCCCTTTGAGGCCCTGGCGGAACGGAGCAATTGGCTGCGAGCGTCCATCTCCAAGGATGCCTTCGGCAAGGCTTTGTTGGCGAGCGGCATCCCCTTGCCCTTGCTGACCAAGGAGTGGCCACCTGGTGGCAGCCGGTGTTGGGATATTGACCTTGCAGACAGGTTTCATAGTCCTTCATAGTATTGCACAGTAAGATAGATAGGAAGATCTTGAATTGTATAATGTATATATATATACTGGTATACTGTTATTGAGTCATCACTGCGAGTAGTTACAATGGTGGGCCTCTGAGAATTGACGAATGGGTTTATGGCTTTGCTTATGGCTTTGCAGATCAGCCCGAGGGCAAAAACTTGTTCCATAGATGCCGTGGGCTGCTTGCCTTTTTTCCCCTTTCCTCCTGACCTCAGTTACTACAATAAGCCAACTGCCTTTCCCACACTGTCCACAAATAAGAATTGTTTTGGTTTGCTTGGAGACCTGGTCACTGGGTCACTTCCCATCTGGATGGAACTTTCTGAATGCCTGCTGCAAGACGCTGCTCGAGGTTCAGTGATCCCAGTGTGGATTTCGAAGGCGGCTGGGCTGCAAATGGGCATACAAGCACCCCTGAGTATGTGAGATTTCGCAACCCAATGTGAGATTCCTCCCACTGGCCACAAGGTGGCCATGACTAGATCCAAGGTGGCAAGAAGTCCTTGTTCGACCTCCTGGAGGATTTGGACGCAGCTGCGTGCTTGAAGAAGTGTCCCTGGGCGAAGCAGGGGTCACCAGAGAAATCCATCAGATTGCTGGGCATGACGGCTAATTAATGCAGGCAGGCTCAGTGGAGGCTGGGTGGGGGAGGCTTTGATCCCAGGTTCCCAAACTCACGTGCACAATCCAGCCTGCATTCCAGATTCTGTTTCTTCTTTTGTATCGAAGTTTCTACCTATCAGACCTATCACTATGTTCTTTAGCAATGACTCAACAACGCGTTGGAGCTTTAAACTGCCCTTGTTCTGAGGCAAGGAAATCGCAGTTGCGAACAAGTGAACAGCTCCAGACTCAGAACTGTAGGATCTGTGGATCGTCGCAGCTTCCTGCAGTAAGTGGATTTTTCCACACTTCCCGTTGGACTTGCCCGCCATCACGATGGTTTTGCTGCCAAAGAATCCATTTCTTTTAGAATAGGCTTTTCCAACCGCGTTCATTTTTTTTGTTGAGCCAGGGCAAGTCCATAGAACAGATGCCAGCAACTGAGCGACCATTCATCATAGTGCCTGGGACATGAGAGGATGTCGGCCGTTCGTGGTCCTAGCACCCTAGGACTGCTGCGTCAAGCTGCATCTTCGCCCCTCCTTCCAGGTAAGCACAGGTTGGTTGGTAAGGCTGGCATTTGTAAATTCTTGAGGCGTGAGCCACGTCCAATTCAGGGCCCCTTTGGATCCAAGCTTAAATTGGACCTAACAGTAACATATCCGTTATCACCTTTCTTTAATACAGCAAATTGTGCCAGGGGCCCACAAATCGTTGCTCACCTCGTCCTGACCATTAAAGCCTTTGCGACACAGCGCGCTCAAAAGATGGCTGAAGCCCGGGGGCTCCAAAGTCTTCCTTCTTTCTCTTTTAAACTAAATTGGTGAGAAAAAAGTGCCATCAATCCCCACTATTACCTAAGTGGGACCATACCACACACCTGCATAGTATGAAAGGCCTCAGATTTGGACAAAGTGGAGCACGCTAGGTGTTCAACACAGGGACTAGCCACGACTTGCTCTTGGGACAGCCTTTTGATCCTTTTGGACTAGATGGTTCAAGATGTTCAAAGCGACATGGTGGATTTTTGCGGAACTGTTAACATTTTCCCAATGCTTTCCTTCCCTGTGAATTTGGTAGTAAGGAAGTTATGAGGCATTGCATTGTTCATCCAACACCATCATTTTTGTCTATTTCGTGCTCTTCAGGAAATAAGCTACAACCTGTGACCTTTGTTTGCCCCTACTGTGAGCAGAGGTCCTGAGGTGTTACGCGCCAAAGCTTAAAGCTATTGGAGCTCGAGCTAATTTCCAGCTTGCGTGCAAAAGCCACTCCGACTCGTTCCTGCGTCCTTCGACCGTCACTGCAGCAGCATGACCGACAAGCGCGTAGACCCAGCGACAGGATCGGCAGTCACGTACACAGAGCTGGTGGCCACATACAAGAAGCAGTACAAGAGGCGAGAGATCGAGGACCCGGGTCTGGCCACTTTGTGCGTGTTGACCCGTTCAAACAAATACACTCAAACAGATTTTACTTGGCATTTGGTGAAACATTGTTTGCATACGGAGCTGTTCAATCCCGCTTGGCTGAGGATTATTGGGAGAGTTGCAAGCCAGCAAAGTCGAAGAAGTCGAAGGCCGCGGCACCTGCAAAGGAGTCGAAGCCCTCGAAAGCTGCCAAGCCAGAGCCTAAGGCCAAGGCCAAGGCGAAGGCAAAGGCAGCGGCCAAGGATGGCAAGAAGGAGGAAAAGCCGAAGCCCAAAGCCAAGGCTGCCCCCAAGCCAGAGACGAAGACAGATGACAAGGTGCAGTTTTCCTGGCATTGAAGGACTACCAAGAATGCTTACTCGCCACTTGAGGGCATGTTCAAACTGTGATTATTCTGGGCGACTCAAGCTGATTCCCATCCATGTATATATATATATATATACACATACATACACATACAGTAATCATGTATATTAGATTTACTGGCTCAAGGTGCGACAAGTTTGTGTTTCCGAACACATTGATTTCACTCGTGCCGCTTGCCATCATGTGGGCGTCGCTGATGGGTGGTGGCATTTTGTTTGGCCTTGGCCTTGTCATGGCCACTAACAGCAGCAGTGAACGCAACTGCTGCTGTGAGGGCAGCTATCGCGATGCTTATGGCGGTGCAGTGTGGACGGTACATCAAGCCTTTGAGTACACTTGTCCTGGCAAGTGCTCTGCCGACGGTACACTCTATTCCACAGCCGATTGCTCAGGACCCTCTATGGATAGCGAGATATATATGGTGCGTTGCTATCCAAACCTTGGCACAGAGCTGTTTGATAGTGTGAATTGGAAATGCAAGAAGGCGCCCAAAGTACCCAAGGATTCCGGCTGCTGCTGTCAATCATGGTACAAAAAAGGTCATTTCGGAGGAGACCTTGCTATATCGAAGGCCATCAGATATGACTCATGCGGCAGCGGATGTCCTCCGGGTGGCATGCGCTACGATTTCAACTTCAACGACTACCACCCGCTTTTGGACACTGAAAATTGCAGTAGCTCGCCCAGCTCGGTGGGGGATACTTATAGGATATGCCATCCCTACCAAGGAATCAACAGAGACGCGTATGCGTGGGGGTGGCACGACCTCAAGTTCATTACAGGCCCAGTTTGCAGAGGTGGTCCTCTGGATAAGGATGAGCAGCTTGAAAATCGTCGACGCTACTACTCAAAAGCTGCTCCAACAGCAAACGCCACAAACATCACGGCCATGACAGCTGGACCTGTGCCAATTTCAAATCTGACTTCGGATGCATTGGCAGAGCGCACCAGCCTAGTTTTCCCTTGAGTACAGTGGACAACACCTGTTACGGCATTCACAAGAAGTGGCGCCCCAAGACCGACATGAAGTGCAACCAAAAGAAAGCCAGAGCTCTTGGGATGGCTTCCTGTGTTCTACTTCAGCATCATTTGCAACTTTGTTGTCGATCATCACAAGACTGTTATCGCTGAAATTGCAGTGATTCATGGCACACAGCTTCCACATTTTTGCGCGCCTTTCTTCTTCTGCAGATTGTGCAAATGCTGCGATGTGTCTCAGACCTCATTCCTCATTGTCCAAGTTGATGGACACAATTCTGTGTAAGTCAAGAGTGTTGTCCCGTAAGCATGGCATAAGGTTTGGCGTACGCAATGTGATGCGACATAGGCGTGTAATCTCACGTTTTTGGGGAAGCTCACTTCGATCCATATGCACAGTTCAATGCATTGGATCAATAGTCCAAATGGATTCCATTCCCAAACCCCATGGATAAGACGGAAGGTGCTCAGTGGCAAGGATGGAGGCGCATCAGCCTTGGCCAAGTTGCGTTCCTTCAGCAATTGCGTCACTTGGCTAGGGCAAGACTGTTGATGTAAGGCATGCATCAGATTACTTGGGGCTGGTGGGAATATGTGGGAATGGTTCTCCTTGTGAGATTGGTTGATTGTTTGATGACTTCCAGCCTCCAGCATCAGTGCTGGGTTGGCTGGGTAGGTTTTGGCTGAGTACGTTTGGTTGGACGCCGATGGCGTGACACGGTCAAAGACCATGACCATGACCGCCAGGCCTCCGTCGTGGTGAATTCCCAGTGGTTCCCAGTGGTTCAGCAGTGAAAGCGTTGCATAGGGCCATAGGGCATTCTAATCTTTCTGTAGGCATTGTAAGCCATCAATGTTAGGCTCTCAGCTCAGATGCCAATTGAACATCATGGGATACAGGGAATTCTGCTGAATCATGCAGTTTCCGTCCTGTCATGTCCTGTTTGTGCTCGAAAAGCAGGCCTTTGAAGGTGACCGACCTGAAGGTGTGGAACTACGATGGCAGCAGCACAGGCCAGGCAGACGGCCACAATTCGGAGGTGCTTTTGAAGCCGCGGGCGATTTTCAATGACCCCTTCCGAGCCTCGCCTCTGCGCTGCGTCGTGCTTGTTTTGCGTTTTGGATCTGGTTTGAGAGAGATTTGGTGTCCCTTTCGGATCTTCCGGCCCCTGGTCCCTACAGAGCCCGCTTTCCTGACTTTCTGCACTAAGGTGGCTACCCTCACGTCATGGTCCTTGCTGATGCCTGGAATGCATGGGATGACCAGCCTGCCAAGAACAACACACGCGCCAAGTGTGCCGAGACTATGGACATGTACCGTTCCTTGGACCCTTGGTTCGGCATTGAGCAGGAGTACACCCTGATGAAGCCTGGCAAGGTTGGTGTGAAGCCCTCCGTTCCCTTGGGCTTCAACACGGATGGCAGTGAGCCAGTGCCGCAGGGACCATACTACACCGGCGCTGGCTACAACGTCGCCATTGGACGACCAGTTGCCGATGAGCATTACAAGTTGTGTGTGGAGGCTGGGGTGAAGATTTCAGGTATCAATGCAGAGGTGATGCCTGGACAGTGGGAGTTCCAGATCGGCCCATGCCGCGGCATTGAGATGGGTGACCATCTGACCATGGCTCGCTACATCATGTTGCGAGTGACGGAGAAACATGAATGCGTTTGCTCTTTTGATCCCAAACCTGCGGAGGGTGACTGGAACGGCGCTGGATGCCACACCAACTTCTCTGTGACTCCTATGCGTGTGGCTGGTGGCTATGACACCATCATCAAGGTTTGCGAAGCCTTCGGCAAGGTTGCAAAGGAGCACATTGCAGAGTACGGCGAGGGCAACGACAAGCGCCTCACTGGAAAGCACGAGACCTGTGACATCAACACCTTCAAGTACCTTGCAAGAAAACTCTTGCATATTTTGCACACAAGAAGTTGTCACGCACTTGCACATCATGTTCTGAGTCAGCTTTAGAGCACCACAATTTCATTCTTTTGGGCCCTGGTGGGTGCATGCGAACAGGACAGGTCCCACGGATGTGTTGATATTGCTGCTGTGGGGTCGGTCGGCTCTTTGAGGTACGGTGTGGCCAATCGCGGCGCATCCATTCGCATCCCTCGCGATGCTGAGAAGAGCGGCCGTGGCTACATGGAGGACCGCCGCCCAGCGGCCAACTGCGACCCATACCGAGTGACCCAGCAGCGAAATGTGCGTTGTTGACACAGCCCCCACCGGCCCCCACCCTATCCACAAGTGAACGGATTGCGGACTTGTTTGTTGTTGGCCTTGTACAAAAGCATTTATCTCCGTTTATGATTTACGTTACGTATCATCATGTAGAGCGAGTAGGGCCCTTTTCTTGCATAAATGGGCGAACCGCACTGCAGCACACTGATGTCCATCAACCAAATTGAAAGCCAGATCCGCATGAAAGATATGAAAGCCGTCGAGGTGACTCAGATCATCATGAAGACCACAGGTGAATGTTTGAGCGCCGAGACCGTGGAGGCAAGAAGGGACTTGCGGGTCAGTACAGCGGGGCTGGTTTCTCCACTTCCGGACATGGGTATTTGCGCTCGTGTTGAGTCGTATGTTTCATCAGGTAAGTCGACCGGGGTCGCAATTTTTCGGCAAGTTTTAGTTTCAATTTCTATATCACAAAGTTCTTTCTTTCACCCGGCAGGATCTCTGTTTTGCTTGAGGCTAGGGGAGAACCTGCGGATCTCTCCTTCTTTGGCGTAATCATGCCTCTTACTCTTACCATCCATTTCTAAACAGCCGAAATTGATCGAAATTGGCTGAATTGCCTGGAGGCAACACTTTGGCCCGCAATCATGTCCACATGATCAACTGCTCAGTGAACTCGTGCGGTTTGAGGTTGGTGGCAAGACGCACACTGCCTTTGTGTTCATCAAGCCACATGCCGTTTACGAGAAGGCCTGACTTTGGGGCGCTGAGTATCGTGCGGAAATGTGTAGATCTAGGAGGATACTCAGCTTGAATCAACTTGATACACGTTTGATTCGTTTGATCGTATTTGGCCTCGGGTAAGGTCAAGACCTTGGTGAAGGAGAAGCTCACTGCTGATGGATTGTGTCTTGGCCTTCACGTCTTTTATCATTGAATGTCATTCTGCTCCATCATTCTGCTCAAAGTTAATTACGCGGGGCTTTGATGCTGGTCATAGCTGTCTTAAGGCTGTCTTAGGTTCTGTTCAGAGGACACTTACACTGTAGCTGACAATGGGCATGGAGATCTGTCACATGTGACAGCTGGCCAGCGTTTTCGTGTTGTATGAGTCTTATCCATCCTTGTGTCTTGACATGTCTTGACAGTTGCCTGTTTGTCCACTTGCGTCCACTTGCTTTCCACCTGGATCACCTGGGATGCCAAAAGACCATGCAGAAGGACCTTCGCAGATTGAGCGTTTGAGCTGGATTGTCTCTCTCTCTCTCTTTCCCTCTCCCACTCATCTTAGCCCTTCATCTCAACCAACAAAATGGAAAACATTGGAAAACCATCCCGAGGAAAACTTGAACGGCAGATGGTTTCACGATTTCATGGGGGACATGCAACCACCCTGGGATGCCACGGTCAGCCGCTGAGGACCATCAAGTCGGAAGGCCAAATCAAATCAACAGTCATCGAGCCTTAGCACAAGCTGTCCGTGGGTAGGGCCCCGAAAATATCACGGCACAATGTAAAAGTGATTATGATTACAAGCACATCTATTCAGTTTAGGTGGATTTTGATTGGCCTTCTGGTCTACATCTCTCCGAACAGTTGTGGACACGTTTGGTCACCTCTTCGGCTGAGGACAAGAAGAAACTGATCGACACCCACTATGGTGCCATTGCTGCGAAGGCAGTGATGCTGAAGCCCAAGGACCTCGTTGTGCAGGAGAAGTCCCAGGAGGAATTCGAGAAGATGTTGCTTAGCTGTTCTCATGAGTTAACAAGTCAGAAGGTGCAGCAGATTTTCTTGATTTTTCAGTTTTTAATCAAATTTATATAATTTATCCATTTCATTCAAGTTGGAACCTGTTGAACAAGGTTTGGAGTGAAGTGGAGCAAGGTCATGGAGGATGGCCTGGTCTTCAACGCCATGGATGGAGCCAAGAAGTTGGGCATCTCTCCTGATGAGCTCGGCAAGAAGTACGATGCATTGAAGAAGGGCGAGACCATCATCAAGTTCGGTGGTGGCTTCTACTGCGGAAAAGTGGATGATATCTACGCTGCTCGGGCTCTCATAGCACAAGATTGTCGTGTTTTCCATTTTGTTTTTCTTTCCTCTTGTTCTGCTGGAGCCGGTCTGTCTTGATCTGTCTTGGATCTTGCCAGAATCTTGTGATGGTTGGAGGGATCAAGGACGTCACGTTCAGGTCATCAACGGCTTCTACATGAACATGAGGTCCAAGTTCACGGCCCCAGGAACCAGCATCTACTACTACGAGGCATGGCCGCTTCCTGTGTTCGGAGATAGTGGTGGATCGTGGGAAATCACACACAATAGAATGTGGGGATGTGTGGGGGCAGTGACCCAAAAAGACCAAGATAGACCAAGACTACGCAGAACGTGGGCTTTGAAACAAAGCAGTTGATGCAGTTGATGCATTTTGATGCAGTTGGCAGGTCGAATGGCCAGCAGAGAAGATGTCGTGGGCAGACTTCCGTGGAAAGCTCCTGGGCCCCACGGACCCCGCCAGCGCCCCGGAGGGATCCCTGCGCCAGCAGATCTACAGCAAGTGGTCTGAGCTGGGCCGCTCGGCCACGGGGCCAAGGGGTGCAGTCCGAGCTGATTGAGGCAGTTTCGCCGGATGTTTTATCACAGGTTGGCAGGTTGGCATGATAGGTGGCGAAGTGAAGATCAGTCGCTTGCCCAACGCTCGAAGGCTCAATCTTTCCAGTGATGATGTGATTACACACCACGGGCAACTATTTATATATATATATATATTTTTTTTTTTTCACGAAAGGTAGCGTCAGCTACCTGAGTTCTCCGTGCTTCAGCACAAGCTTAGGGGGTATTGGGGGGCCAGCCCACGGAATTCATGGAATTCTCGCCGTTATGTATTGGATATCAATTATAAGGGGCCCCCCCAAAAGGGTCATGGGTTCAATTCCCACGGGTGACGCGGTCACGGGCCCCCACATTAGAGGCACACTTTCCATGAGGGAGATGTCCCTGTAGTCCAGCATAATTGGTATGTTTCAGCCTCCATAACAGATGCTGCAAGGGGTCTTAAAAAGGGGTTTTAAATAAACCCCTTTTCGTGCATCATTTCACGCTGCACAAGACACCGTATCATGCAGTCATGCTCTGGATAAAATCATCTTAGACTGTGCAAAAACGTTTTTGGTGTATCATCTTAAGGGCGCAGCATTTTGACACCACTCCTCTCCCACTACACTACCTTTCGTCCGCCTCTGCCTGCTCTCAAGTTATATATACACATATTTTTAATAATCAAGGATCATTTCCACTTCCGCATTTGTTTCCTTGCGTCGGCCAGACATGAGAGCTTTTTCTTGCAATGCCCAGCGCGACCCACCTAGGATTGACGGCCCAGCCGGTGGCTTGGTTGCTTTTTTTTCCTCCGACTTCTGCCCAAAAAGTTGTGCGAACGTGGACTGGAAGTGAGAAAAGGATAGAAAAGACGTATGTCACAGTGTATGTGCCTTACTGGAAAGTAAATAGGAATTGCTCTACCAACATTTCGCCTGTTTTCATTGTGGGCATCGTATGTTGGCATTGCGATGACGTCAGAATTCTCTTGACAAAGCTGAGATCAGCTGAGCCAAGGACACCGGTGACAACGGCGTGCACGCCTCTGCCAGCCCCTTTGAGGCCCTGGCGGAACGCAGCAACTGGCTCCGGGCGTCCATCTCCAAGGATCCCTTCGGCAAGGCTTTGTTGGCGAGCGGCATCCCCTTGCCCTTGCTGACCAAGGAGTGGTTACTTGGCACCATTGAACCTGTCTTGAAGGTACAGCTTCAGTACAGCTATGTATAGCTTCGGGCGAGTGCTAGCCAGGGCATTGTTTTTTTGAAAGGCTGATGGTGGACTCAGGTTCAGCGATCCTTCCGTGGAGTTTGAGGGTGTCTTGACTCAGCTGGAGTGTTTGTGAGTCTCCAGGTTCAGTGATCCAGAAGTGAACTTCGAAGGTGCAAATCGGGTTTGATCAGCATCCATGGGTTTGGGGAATTGACTGTGCTGTATGCCATCGACATTCGCAGAGTATGTGCAGCAGAAATATTTGAATTCCGTACTGAAAATAGGTAAAATAGGATCTGCAATGAATTTCAATATGCCAGATTACAGCTGGGATTACACCTCACTGATTTGTCTATTTCACATCCCGCGTGGAAACGCTCTCGGGATATTCTGGATGCCATGTCGGCCCAGGTGGGAAGAAGTCCCTCTTTGACCTTCTGGAGGATCTGGACGCAGCGGCATGCTTGAAGAAGTGCATCTGGGCAATATGTTGAATTATATTGACACTACCTCCACCTCTACCTCTCTATCTCTCTCTATCACTCTCCCCGGACTTACAGGCATAAATGCACAAGCACAGAATGCTCACACACACACACACGCAATATGTATTTATAATATTTTATAATATTATATGTATGATATATGTTTCCATGAGGCTGATGGAGTGGATTAAGGTTCTGTCTGAATTGGTTCCTTCCTCTCTAGAGGCTTTGCTTTGCATCTACATGTTGCTCAGTCCAAGGGCTGGGACTGACCGAACCGAGGCAAAGAGATTGCACTGGCGAACAAGAAATGAAGGGCTCCGCTGTAGGAAGACTCCACCCTCCTGGTGGCGCTTGCGCGCCCCGCCGGGCCATTGGGCTTGGCCTCGTTGATTCGGTGCAGACTTGAAGCGTGACAAACAAATTGGGATTTTTCGGATTTTCTGGGGAACTTTCTGGGAAAGCTGTCTTTGATCAGGAGGTCAAGCCCATAGAACAGATGTCAGCAACTGAGCGACCATTCATCATAGTGCCTGGGACATGAGAGGATGTCGGCCGTGCGTGGTCCTAGCACCCTTGGACTGCTGCGTCAAGCTGCATCTTCGCCCCTCCTCCCAGGCAAGCACAGGTTGGTTGGTAAGGCTGGCATTTGTAAATTCTTGAGGCGTGAGCCACGCTGACGTCTTCATACTGACATATATATGTATAACTATATATACATATAGACATACACAGAAATGCAATCCTTTTGATAGTCATGAAACGGCGTAGCTCACCTCGCTTCCATTAAAGCCTTTGCGAGCTACAATGCTCCAAAAATGAAGCGCGAACACGGCAGTACATACATACATGCACACACACACGCACACATACATGCCTTCAATGTGCATATACTTAAGGATACTTGAGATTGGTGGAAGCCAACATCCCCGACTTGATTCAGTCCGCAGTCATCTACCGATTGAATGAAAGTCACGCCTAGTTTTGTTTTTTCCGAAAACTGCACATGCATGTTCTTTGAAGGCGCCTATTTGGCCTTAATGATTCTCTTGAGCCATCCCAGTGTAGCGCTCGAGGAGTATAGTATTTGTGTCAAAACTAGTCGAAATCAGAAGCTCGATTTGAAGTTTGAGAAGATTTTCGAAGTCTCTCCGTCTCTCCCTGATTTCGGCAAACCATCATTGTTTATGCTTTTGGCAATGAGTTTCGGCTGTGATTCCAGTCTGAGTGCCGTGGCCACTTCCAGGTTGGCTCAGCTCCCTCACACCGCACACCGCCTCGCGTTCCGTCGCCATGGACAAGGTGGCGCCTGTGCTTGGTGGCCTTGCCAGTTCTGGCCCAAGGATCTGAGATCTCAAGGCCGTAGGTACACTCAGTGATTTTGATCGGGTCAAAATTTAGAATCCCCAACATCAAAATGGCTGAGATCCATGGATGTGAATAATAAACCCCCAAATATCTCCAAATATGATATAGGATATATATATAATATAGGTTTGATCCATCCCTAAGGCCATTTCATTACATTCAGGGGTTATTACAATACATTCAGGGGATAGACACTTGCAATTGGTTCTCAGTGTCACGTTGTCTTGGACACTGGGCAAGCAAATGTGGCATCGGTTTTGCGTGCTTCAACACAATGTGCAGCAAACGCCAGCAGTAAAGTTCATGTTTTTATCTTGCTTTTGATGTTGTGAACATGCGCTCCGCTGCGCTCCCTTCGGTTCAGAGCACCACACCACCATTTTAGCAATTCAGGTCCACACTTTGGCTGATAAATGATGTGGGAATGTGTGAGTACGAAACGAGTATGCCTCAAAAAAGACTATGTTTGAGCACATGTCTTTTGACAACATATCTTATATAACCGATGGTGTTTGATGCCATCATGCTTTGAAAGTTCCATCACTCAGTGACTTCACCTGGCATGGCCAATCAATGATTATCCCAGAGCATGAAGGCCACTGAAGAGAGCAAAGAAAATCGTCTTCAATAACAATCTTGTACCTGATTGTACCTCTAATCGAAAAGATGTTTGCACGCACTGTAGGTAGCAAAAAGAACACTCAGAAAGCAGGGCTCACAAAGTAAATCTTCAGACAATACATCTCTACCAAATGTGAATTCTTCTCTTTGGTTGCTAAGTCTAAAAAAGTCTGCAAAACAGTTGCGCGCAAAAGATTTGCACAGATTGCGCGCAGAAAAAGACGCAATACGCATTGCGTAATATACTGCTGTTGCCGAAGCAGGCGTCGGCGCCGTCGCTGGCGCCGTCGCTGGCGCCGGTCTAGGATATTACGCAGGGATATTACGGGAGGCTATTGCGCGAGGATATTACGCAAGAAAGATATTGCGCAAAGTATTGCGCAGAGAAATTACGCAAGGATATTTGCTCAAAGGTGATATTACCCATATTGCGCAATGATATACTGTATTGCAAGATATTGGGCGATAAGTTTAGGCACCAACAGTAGTGGATCAGTTTGGATGCTAACGACAGTTTTCTCTTGTAGAGTGTAGAGCCTTGTAGCCACATTTAGCCACATTGAAATGAAAGCCAGTGAGCTTTTGAACACTCTGTCACCCCAGTGATCTTGTACCCATCGAAATCACATGCCCAGAGCAGTACGAACTGATAATTGAAAAACAAAGTTTGCAAGAAGCAAGGTCCCAAGTTCCGAGGTGATATGTTACAGAGGCACCTGTAGATACATCGTTGGCATTGGGCGCTGCTGACCTCAGGGTTCTTTCATACGAAGTGTGATCAACATATCATTTAATCAATCAGGTTCAGTGTCGTGGCCGTGCTGCAATGGTAGTGCATGCAAAAGCCAGACAAGATCAGGCAACCATTTTTTCCCCACAGGCCACCCCAGCTGTAGGATCTAAGCGCGACCCTTCATCTCCTTCAACATTCGACACACAGTTCGAAGTTGGTTCTCCAAGAAGATGATTTTTTTGCCCTTAACCAGAGTTAAGGCATCATGCATCAGCAATGACGCAGTGGCGGGCACGGAAAAGAATGATATTGCAGCTTAAGAGACATTCCAGCAAATTTCCACGCCTAGGGGCTCTGCTCGTAGTTCTTGTGGGTAAGTTTCTCCTTTGATGAAAGATGTTTGATTTCTGTCGCTTGCTCTGCTGTTCGTGTACTTGAAGATGTCACCAAGCGCAAGGTGGCTGTCATGATCATGCTTCATCACCACGCAGTGAATCTCGACAGGTCACCAGCCACCTGTGAGAGAGACAGGCAAGGCATCTGGACATGTTGGAGTTAAAGGGGTTGATGGCTTGGGCTAAGCCCAAAGGACGATGGTTTCACCCGGGCCCTCACCCCCTGTGATGTGTCCGTCAACAAAATATCCTGGCAGAATGTCTGCAGGATTTTCTGGCAGAATATCTGTGCGATATTCTGGCAGAATGTTTGTGTGATATTCTGGCAGAATATCTGGCGGTGATATTGGGGCATAATATCGCTGATATTCTGGTATATATGACCTGGCAGGCTACATTGTGATCGACTAACTTTTAAACAGTTTTGCTTTTTGAATGTCTTGCGGGACATTCTGCTGTCACCCCCTGGCTGCTCATAAATAGAAATTTCAAAGCACGATGTTCCCACCCGGACCATCACCCCCTGGAGCCCGAAAATTATGCGTAAGACTTGCCCAACATATACCCAGGACCTGATGTTGACCACAAATTGCTGTGTGGTATTCCTGCAGGCTATGGGGATACCAGGTTTTGGAGGTTGCATGATTGTAAAACACCTCACTGTCTTAAAACACCTCGTGTCAGGGGACGACGTTCTGACCCGGACCATCACCCTTTGAAACTTTGTTGTTCGGGCCCCAAAAGGACGATGACAGATTGTCTTGGCCGCCCATTTGAGAATCTGCACTGGGTCCTAGACACGTATTCTTTTATATCAACCTGCGATCACAATGTAGCCTGCCAGGTCATATATACCAGAATATCAGCGATATTATGCCCCAATATCACCGCCAGATATTCTGCCAGAATATCACACAAACATTCTGCCAGAATATCGCACAGATATTCTGCCAGAAAATCCTGCAGACATTCTGCCAGGATATTTTGTTGACGGACACATCACAGGGGGTGAGGGTCCGGGTGAAACCATCGTCCTTTGGGCTTAGCCCAAGCCATCAACCCCTTTAACTCCAACATTTCCAGGTGCCTTGCCTGTCTCTCGCACAGGTGGCTGGCGACCTGTGTCGAGATTCACTGCGTGGTGATGAAGCATGATCATGACAGCCACATTGCGCTTGGTGACATCTTCAAGTACACGAACAGCAGAGCAAGCGACAGAAATCAAACATCTTTCATCAGAGGAGAAACTTACCCACAAGAACTACGAGCAGAGCCCCTAGGCGTGGAAATTTGCTGGAATGTCTCTTAAGCTGCAATATCATTCTTTTTCGTGCCCGCCACTGCGTCATTGCTGATGCATGATGCCTTAACTCTGGTTAAGGGCAAAAAAATCATCGTCTTGGAGAACCAACTTCGAACTGTGTGTCGAATGTTGAAGGAGATGAAGGGTCGCGCTTAGATCCTACAGCTGGGGTGGCCTGTGGGGAAAAAATGGTTGCCTGATCTTGCCTGGCTTTTGCATGCACTACCATTGCAGCACGGCCACAACACTGAACCTGATTGATTAAATGATATGTTGATCACACTTCGTATGAAAGAACCCTGAGGTCAGCAGCGCCCAATGCCAACGATGTATCTACAGGTGCCTCTGTAACATATCACCTCGGAACTTGGGACCTTGCTTCTTGCAAACTTTGTTTTTCAATTATCAGTTCGTACTGCTCTGGGCATGTGATTTCGATGGGTACAAGATCACTGGGGTGACAGAGTGTTCAAAAGCTCACTGGCTTTCATTTCAATGTGGCTAAATGTGGCTACAAGGCTCTACACTCTACAAGAGAAAACTGTCGTTAGCATCCAAACTGATCCACTACTGTTGGTGCCTAAACTTATCGCCCAATATCTTGCAATACTGTATATCATTGCGCAATATGGGCAATATCATCTTTGAGCAAATATCCTTGCGTAATATCTCTGCGCAATACTTTGCGCAATATCTTTCTTGCGTAATATCCTCGCGCAATAGCCTCCCGTAATATCCCTGCGTAATATCCTAGACCGGCGCCAGCGACGGCGCCAGCGACGGCGCCGACGCCTGCTTCGGCAACAGCAGTATATTACGCAATGCGCATTGCATCTTTTTCTGCGCGCAATCTGTGCAAATCTTTTGCGCGCAACTGTTTTGCAGACTTTTTTAGACTTAGCAACCAAAGAGAAGAATTCACCTATTTGGTAGAGATGTATTGTCTGAAGATTTACTTTGTGAGCCCTGCTTTCTGAGTGTTCTTTTTGCTACCTACAGTGCGTGCAAACATCTTTTCGATTAGAGGTACAATCAGGTACAAGATTGTTATTGAAGACGATTTTCTTTGCTCTCTTCAGTGGCCTTCATGCTCTGGGATAATCATTGATTGGCCATGCCAGGTGAAGTCACTGAGTGATGGAACTTTCAAAGCATGATGGCATCAAACACCATCGGTTATATAAGATATGTTGTCAAAAGACATGTGCTCAAACATAGTCTTTTTGAGGCATACTCGTTTCGTACTCACACATTCCCACATCATTTATCAGCCAAAGTGTGGGCCTGAATTGCTAAAATGGTGGTGTGGTGCTCTGAACCGAAGGGAGCGCAGCGGAGGATATGTTCACAACATCAAAAGCAAGATAAAAACATGAACTTTACTGCTGGCGTTTGCTGCACATTGTGTTGAAGCACGCAAAACCGCTGCCACATTTGCTTGCCCAGTGTCCAAGACAACGTGACACTGAGAACCAATTGCAAGTGTCTATCCCAATGTATTGTAATAACCCCTGGATGTAATGAAATGGCCTTCCCTATAGATCTCTGTTTGGAAAGTTGCTGTGACCCTCATGTCGAGTCGGACAATGTCCAAGTCCTGAGTCCCAGCTGAGGCATCTATGTGGCTTCCAAGGTCATCCCTGTGATGTACCACTGGGAGTTAATTCCCGGTGTCGCCTCCCCGGTAGCTTGGAGCGCCATCGGGTTGAGGGCGGGTCGCGTTTATCAATGTTAGTTGATGAATTGATGAATGCTTCACTTGATTTGCCCTGCTATTTTTTTGTGAAGTGTACACTTGATATTTTCTGCAGCACGTAGGATGTTTGGAAAACATCCGCTAGCAAACTGTGTGGAGGCATCAACAAGCTGAAAGGGATGCTTCAGAACTTAACTACACCACGATGGCAGTAGCCTGTGAAAGATTGCCGGCCTCACCAGAGACTGAGGCTTGGTGGGCACGAGCCAACACGCTTCGCTACGATCATTACTCGGAGGGCATTGTGTATTCTCAGTACGACAATGGTGACCCAATCCGTGAAATCCCAGAAGAGTCGAAAGGCACAGATGGGATGGGGTGAGAGGCCTTTGCCCATTGACGTTGCCATACAAGCTGAAATGCATCACTTAGCAGAAATGCAAACTTGCTGAAGGCTTTCTGGAGGCAGAGTGTCATGATATCCTTAAACATCCTTAAACCAATGGGGTTTTCTGGATTTCTACTCTTTTCCCTTTTCAAACATATGGTGGCGCTGCAGGCAAGATGATCCTCAGGCAGAAACGTGGCGGCTGGAAACTGCAGAGCGAGATGGAGCATGAATAAATGCCATTGCGCACTGCACCCTGTTGCAGGGGGGGAGGTGTGTGGCAGTGTAGAATTTCCTCATATGACGCAAGGGCAAACCCATGGCAATCGGAGGACCATGTGCAGTATGATTTTCTTTTGGGTTTCACATGGTTTTGTTGCTGAGATATGAACAGATAAAGCAAGGCATTGGTAGCACATTCAGATGATTTAGTGAAACATTTTTCTGACTGAGGAAAGCTCCTAGGCTTTCCGCCGAAGTGAGTGAGCCTGCCGAATCTCTGTGTGTGGATGGCTCCTCACGGTGGATGGCAAGCTGGGAATACCAACCCTAAAGACACCTGAGTGACTGTCACTTAGTCAAGAGATCACTTCCTTTGCCATTGTATACAGCCAGGCGATGAACGTGCCATAATGATCATAATGATCCATACTAGGCCAATTATAGAATATTATAGATTCCTTTCTTGCCTCCAGAGCCTCTAGATTTCTGAAGTTGGCGCGCCTCCGAGTTGTCGAAGCTAATGGGCCAGTTGCATCCCACTTCGGAACCGCTTCCATGGTCGAAAAGTTGCCACAAATTGCCTTGAAGACCTTGAAGGGACCGCATCAGGCAGACAGATTAGGTGCCATTCTTGCATCGATTTCGGTGGTGACGCTTCAGAGGCGGTAGGCAAGGGAAATTCTGTTTTGGAATCCGCATAGCTAAACATAGAGCCAAAGCGGATCATGTCACGTCATTTCTTGGAGGCTTCCATAGGCTTCCGCATATGTTTCATCTTGGCTCCACCAGACTGCAGCACTTGCATGTTGGAGCTACCCAGGCTGAGCCAAGATGACGTCGATGTTGGATCGGATCTTTGCAGCATCACTGGTTAGCATTCCTTCGTAAGGATTTCAGCGGACCCGTGGAAAAGTCAAGTCATGCGCTTTCCATCGACCACTCTTGATAGCCACAGAAAACAAAGAAATTGTAACATCGCAAAGGCAATGGCGCCTGGGTGTCATACAAACCCCCACTGCAGCATGTTTGTTCCTGCGCTGGGCCTTTCGACCCTGCGGGGCCCGCGATGCTTCAATGGCGCCGAAAAGGTAGAGACCTCAGGGGCTTGGATGGGTGAAGTTTGGTCCGAGGGAGCAGGCCAAGTTGTTGAATGACATATGACCACTTGGGGGGCAAAGCATGGCAAAGCCAGTTCATTGTAAATTGTCAACCTTGTTGATACAGGGTCTATGTTCTATGTTCCAGTGCGGAAGCAACTTGACTCTTCCATCCCAAAACTTTCATTTTGACCTTTCTCTATGGAGAAGAACCTCTCAAACATATCAAATTGTAATTGGGAGAGAGATTTCTTGATGTTTCCAGATGGTAAGATAGCTTGATGTAGCGGCTACGCGTTCCTCCATGTTCCTCCCGTTTTTGCCCCAGGTCCTTTACCCCTGGAGCTCGGATACGATTACATGGCCTACAAGCTAAGCATCGTGACAGCACTTGTGGGGTGTAATAATCTCACTTTGGTACTTTGTTTCCTCTTTTTTCTCTACGTTATTCCGGTTATTCCGGTTATTCCTTCCATTTGACTTCTCTAATCAGCTCGGAAAACTGAATGTGACATAATGTGACTATGAAGTTGTACACATAGCTATGACATGCTATGACATAGCTTAAATAACAGAATTAGTTCAGGTCATGAGCCATCAGGATCAGGTGCAACGATGATTTGAAACATCTTAAAATCTGAAGGTTTGCCTTAGCTGAGGCCTGAGCTCAACGGCAAGGAGGGTATCTGCAGGGGACCCTTGGGTAGATACGTGCACAATCGTGCACAAACATGAAGGGCATCCACACACATGTATGTATGTATATATGTATGTATGTATGACACACACACACATATCCATATCCATATCCATATCCATATCTATATCTATATCTATATCTATATCTATATCTATATCTATATCTCTCTCTCTCTCTATATATATACGTATATATATATATATGCACCTGGCGTGTAGGTACACGGGCGTACATACTTACCAACCTTACCCGACATGAAGTGAAATTGACATCTCGGAAGCAGCTCATTTCATGATATTTTCTCGTGTCCTGGCCTTGCCTTTGCCTTTGCCAACATGACCAGTTTCGCCACAGCTGCAATGCATCCAGACTCGTGGCTCGGGCTCCTCGGCGTTGTACAGGTAGTTGCCGAGTTGCGAACTGATTCCTGGGACTGTCACTGTTGGATCTGTCGGGGTATTTGTGTTTGCAGATTTTGAAGGTCCAGAATCAGCAGACAGTTGACAATCGGTATGCTAGTGGCTCACCCCAAATTGGCAGTTCATGGTGACGTGACCACACAGCGACTTGCAAAACTTGGAATCAGTATTCCACGCGCCATGGCTGATACAGACCTCCCTGCCGATCCTGATCCACTAGAATCAGGTGTCCCAGATGCAGTTGGAAAAGCATGGAAAGCCAACACAGCCGACCATTCTCAACAAACCATCGAGCAAATTTCTGACACGTTGAGCAACTTTTGACCATCACTACCATCCTTGGGATCTTTAGTCTTTGATTTCAATCGTCACCGCAGTCGTTCTACTCGCGCGACGCATTAAGGCATTTTCCTGGACACTGCGAGCTTCCGTCATTTTGCCCCACTTTTAGAGGCGAGCCAGGTGCGCAGAAGGGCAGAGGGGTCGGGTTGGCACAGTCCCACACCAATGAGGTTTGAGTTACACATGTCTGCATTTCAGTGAACCACTCTTTGCTGATCAGTTGGCTTCGTTTCAACATGCTAAGCCACCTGCACGCTCTGATCACCGCTAGGCCTATGCACAGCTCAGCGGCTGCCGCTTTCGTCTTGCCTCCTTTGACCCGACGCAACAGCCGCCGGAAGAGGCCAGGCATAAGATACAAGGCTTGTAGCGAGCTTGGTTTCCAACCCTTGAGGGCAGCCCGGAAGTGGTCAGGTCCCAACACCATTCAACACCTGCCCAATTTCTGAGAGGAGTCACGCATTTGTCGGGAGAAAGAGATGCGCTTGGCAGCCAAAATGCAGGCAGAGCCTCAGGCAGAGATTGAGATGCCGAGATTTTGAGAGTGGTACATACCATGACCCAGGTATTTTCAAGGGCATAGGCGGCATAGGCGGCATAGGCGGCATAGGGATAGTGTGCAGGAACCAGATGGATCCGGTGGACCGCTGTCACGGCATCAATTGAATGAGCAGGGCGGATCCTTGTCTAAGCCTCGTTCCTTCAGAATCTAGGTGCCATGCAGATACTGGTACGTCTTCAGTCATCAGGAAATGCAGAGATTTTTTGGCTTCTCGTGGGTCAGGAAACCCCGTGGCCAGGTACAAGTCTTTTCAGACCGTTTGAAGGCCGGTGACCCAGCCCTTTGCGAGGAGCATGAGCGTGCATATCGAATCGTGATGGTGGAAGGCCAGGCTGCAAAGAGATGATGTAAGGACTGACTAAGACATGGACGCAATTCCTGCACAACTGATCGGTACTTGCTAGGTACTTGTAGAGCCAGAATCTTTCTCCACTCTTCGGATTCAGCAACACTTTGGCAAGAACTTGTGAGTGGTGAGCTGTTCGGCTTTTCTCAGCTGTTCTCCATGGATCCTTTCGTTCATCCGATAGCACTGTGTCCGGGTGAGGCGTTCGGAATGCCATGATCGCTGCCTTCCAACGGTTGGAGTTATGGCCTCCGACACCACCACCTGAAGGAATTGAGGATGATGACTGCTGCTATGAGGCCAGTTCTGTTCGGGATGTGTGCACTGAAGGAATGAGTGGATTCAGAAATTCAGGTTTAGATGGCTGGGAAGGGACTCAATCTCTAGTCGTGAAGTGTGTTTCAACAGAAACCTACAGGTCAGCATGTTGACGATAACCATGGTCTTTGTAAACCTTGGACGCGTTTGAACTCCGCAGAGTGGTTGCCTGTGCAGAGGATGTCAACTCTCCCTTGCTGGTCATTGCCCAACGCCTCTACAACGACGATGTGCGCAGGTGAAGGGAGTGGTTTGCGCAGATGATCCCAGGTGATGATTTGGTGGTCAAATTGCAGTGGAAAGGGATCAGAGCGAATGACCCAATTTTTTTTTTGGGTGTCAAATGCAATCAAGGTATTCTGAGCTGTAGTAAATTTTTAGCAACAACCCCTGAACAAACAGATTTACATGTTGATATCACCCTCAAATCGGCTGGTCATGATTTTTTGATTGTTCTATATTGTTCCAGAGGATTTCAGCCCCATGGCATGTCTCCATGGCTTGTCGCAAGGCTTCTGGCAGTGCCCTGCGACGGTGCAGCATCGCCCTGGCAGCAGCGGGCTTTGACTGCTGCCTTCATTGTCGACTTCGCTGAGGTGTGGTTTCGTTCTTGTTGCGAGATCCTCGTTTGTGATCTTTTGCGCTGCGCCACTACGCTTTCCCCCTTTTGTTCTTTCTTCTCCCTCCGCTGGCCCTTTTGTGAAGCTTGCATACCTCGTCGTACAGAAGAAGGGAGGGGTTATAAAACAGGGTAGAACACATTCGGTATCTACGCTTCTTGCCTAGACCTAGACGACACGGCGCAACTCGCAGCATAAACATTCAGCTAAGTCACGGTCTCAAAGCTGGCATGATGCTTCCTTTGTACTAGTACTAGTTAAACATTAAAAAGATTTGCAGGGTTCCTTTTCAATTAATGTGGTAAACCCAATAACAAACCATCCCCCAAAATATCCACAAATGGTTGGTAAACAAAATTCGTTTATTATTGGCTTTACCACATTAGGTAGACACAACGGGATTGCTGACCCAGAACCAGGAGGTGGGCGTGCCGTGCCCCAGTATGCCGCCGACGCAGAAGGCGGGCGGTGGGACATGAGAACATGTACCTCATCAGAATTCATAATATGATTGGCTATCATTAGATATCCCAATATAGCATAACACAACTAAGAAACAATGGCAGACATCCCAAGATCAGCACTATATGATATATGGCTTTCATATGCTTTCATGAACTATATATATATATATATAATATGATACATGATGTAATAGTGTGGACCTAGCAAACAATAGTTACCGTTGATGCTCCAATTGGAAGTCTGCACGTCCGTCAGCGCTCTGGCCGCTTCTTTGCCCTGTGAAATGAGGGTCCCGGATTGAAAAAGGTTGTCAACGTGGACATCCAACAACACAAGAATAGGATTTTTTTTGTTCTGCCCAGTGTCTAGGGTGGCTGCATGGATTGCGATTGAATGAGTGCGATCAAAATTATCATGTGGAAACGCAAACCGCAAGCCTAAACTAAAAGGACCTTGGATGACAAGATTGCTGTAGATTCTTGAATGCCTGACAACAGAGCTTCTGGTATGTGCAGGGTTTTGTGATTGTGCACATTTCTACCGGGGAAGGAGATGCAATTACGGACCATATCTATGTAGGACAATCAAGGTGCAAGCAAAGAAGGCTCCAGTTCCCAGAATGGATTTGATATGATTTGACATGATTTGACAGGATCCGCAGACCCGTCAGCCCCGCATGACTCTTGCTGGGCAGGAGATGATCGAAGAGTTTGCCTTGCGAGTGGAGGAATTTGAAGCTCAACAGCGTGCCACTGCCGCAGCAGTTGCTGCTGCAGTTGAAGAACCCAGCCCACATACGGTGGAGGATGCGGTGGAGGCATCTGAGAGGTGCCTTGAACGATCTGAACAATCTGAACAATCTCCAGCTCAACTGATCCCCAGCAGCTGTGAAGCCCTTCTTGGGACACCACACCACTTGGACCAAGGCCTCCCGACACACCTCCTGCGCGGCTGTTGGGCGTGGCACAGCAGCTCCGGGCCGAGACGCGAAAACTCACAGAGCGAGGAGGTGGGGCCTGGCACTTTGCAAAATTGCAGGTAGAGGAGAAGGCAACTTGGCCCTAACTAGGCCCTAGGCAAGGACAAGCAATAATTTAGAATAAGCGGGGGATGTTTGGATGAAGAATGGAAAATGAATGAACGTCAACCTTTCAATTTGGTCCATGGTGGCAGTGTGTTGATTCTCGCAACTGTAGCATCAGTTTTGGTCAGTTCCACAAGCTATAGCAGGTTAAAACATTTGCAGGATGTCCTTCATTGCTGGTAGCTTGGTAGCGGCTTGGGAGGCCAATTTGTGCAAGAGAACAAGGCACTCGTCGCCTTGGGTGCAGCTGGGCTGGTAGGAAGCGCAGTGGGCTTTCTCGTGGCTGGAGGCCGAGCTGAGCGGGCGGGGCGGGATTCCTGTCGATTTCCTGCTTCTAATTGACGAGCGGTTTGAGGAGTTGCAGCATGATTCACTGTGACCCATTAGGTGCCATCATGGCTACAAGGCTGTCACGATCCCAAGATGAGGAGACTGAGACTGGCAGTAGCCGAGACGTTTCACTGGATGATTGAAGTCGCCCCGACAAAAAGGGCAAATGCACAGCAGTGGTTCGAGCTGATGCCTGAAATTTATTGAAGTTCGCTCTGGACCCTTGCAGGTGTGTTTTAATGGGGTTTTGGTGGTGTCTCAACATGGGCACAAGGATGTTTGCACTACAAAAGGCTGACCATCCAAAGGCATCTAAAAGCAATGCTGACTCGAAACTGCCTCAACGGACTCAGATTTCCAAGGCGTTGAGCAGAAGGTGGATACGGGCCGATGGCTGGTGTTGACCTGAGATGGGTGGGGGGTCACTTCTGCAGGGTGATGCGAAGTCCCACATCAATTGGTACAATGACTGGGTCGTGGTTGAGGCTCTGTTCCTGAATGATTGCACTATGTCGCCCTAGACAAGGTGTTTGAAATGCAAAGAAATAAACGACTTGATGTCGGAGAAGAGTGGCGGCTTTGAGGCAATTTTTCAGAGGAGAGGTGCTATTGATCACTCGTACTTCCTAGGATGCTGTTTGGCGCCTGGCTTCTGAATGTGCAGATGATTCTCACTCTACCTGAAGCTATTGGAGCTCGAGCTAATTTCCAGCTTGCGTGCAAAAGCCGCTCCGACTCGTTCCTGCGTCCTTCGACCGTCACTGCAGCAGCATGACCGACAAGCGCGTAGACCCAGCGACAGGATCGGCAGTCACGTACACAGAGCTGGTGGCCACATACAAGAAGCAGTACAAGAGGCGAGAGATCGAGGACCCGGGTTTGGCCACTTTGTGCGTGTTGACCCATTCAAACAAACACACTCAAGCAGATTGTACTTGGCATTTGGTGAAACATTGTTTGCATACAGAGCTGTTCAATCCCGCCTGGCCGAGGATTATTGGGAGACTTGCAAGCCAGCAAAGTCGAAGAAGTCGAAGGCCGCGACTCCTACAAAGGAGTCGAAGCCCTCGAAGGCTGCCAAGCCAGAACCTAAGGCCAAGGCCAAGGCGAAGGCAAAGGCAGCGGCCAAGGATGGCAAGAAGGAGGAAAAGCCTAAGCCCAAAGCCAAGGCTGCCCCCAAGCCAGAGACGAAGATGGATGACAAGGCACCCGGGGTGTCTTCAGTTCATATATTGCAGCCAGTGCATTGGCCGGCCGGTTGTTCAGCACATTCAATGGTTTGTTGTGCGAAGACAGGTGGAGAAAACACGCACTGTGCTGAACTGATTGGATGCCTTCAGTTTTTCAAAGGAGGTGAGTCCCACCCGGTTAAGCTAATCATGTCGGATCTTTACAGTATATACATGTATATACATGTATATACTGATCGCAATCGCAGGTCTCTGACTTTCTTGTAGTAGAAGCAGACATTTGATTGGGCTAGTAGAATGGCTGGAAGGTGATGGCATTCTCCAGCAATGGGGTTGTAAGCATCCAAAAGTATCCAAAAGTGAGGTTAGCCATGGTTAGCTAATTTAATCGGTTAATGCATTTCATTCCATTTCATAACACTCCCTGAATTCCATTGAGTCAGCTGATGCGCAGGTGCAGATCGGTAAGGATGGAGGTGCTTCCGCCCTGGCGAAGTTGCGTTCCTTTGGTAGCTGCGCACTCTGTCGGCATAGACTTGGGGGCTGGTTTCTACTGTAAAGGTAGGTCCCTCTACTGTATATAATGTGCTGAAAAAGAGCCAGCTTAGGAGTTCAATTTTGGTCCATTTGGGTCCAAAGAAACTTACAGACTCAGACAGACTATCCTATTACTCCCTATTCTTGGATGTTTTTGTTGCCATCAGATACCATTAATTGACGACCATTTCCGTTTGAAGACTGCGACTTTCAATCATGGAAAGATGGTGTGCTGTGCTGGATTCCTGGATTTCAACATTTTTCGATTCAGAACACTGGAACTGTAAACTATGTTTGCATTTAACGGTTACGCATGGGGTGGCTTCGACTCAAAAGTAGGCAGCCCCACCTTTTGCGTGACAATTTCTGGTGCCAACAAGTTGTCCATTGAGGTTTTGGCTGAGTATGTTTGGTTGGACGCCGATGGCGTGACACGGTCTAAGACCATGACCATGACCGCCAGGTGGGGTGGAGTTGGGGTGCGGTCAGGCATCCAGAATCCAGAGCAGGACTCACATCATGTTAGTGGGCATCGAGTTGTGCGAACACGAAGGTCAATTCTGTGTTGAACCTATGCAAGGAAAATCTGGTGCCGAGCCTTTCCAACAGCCCCTGACCGTGTACTGTACACCTCCAGATAGAGATATACAGTGTGGTTTTGAGGGAGAGGGTGCAAGTTTGGATCCTTGCAGGCCTTTGAAGGTGACCGACCTGAAGGTGTGGAACTACGATGGCAGCAGCACAGGCCAGGCAGACGGCCACAATTCGGAGGTGCTTTTGAAGCCACGGGCGATTTTCAATGACCCCTTCCGAGCCTTGCCTCTGCTATGCGTCGTGCTTGTTTCGTGTGTTCATTTGATCTGGTTTAAGAGAGATTTGGCTTTCGGATCTTCCGGTTCCTGCAGAGGGCGGTTTACTGATTTTCTGCACTAAGGTGGCTACCCTCACGTCATGGTCCTTGCTGATGCCTGGAATGCATGGGATGACCAGCCTGCCAAGAACAACACACGCGCCAAGTGTGCCGAGACTATGGACATGTACCGTTCCTTGGACCCTTGGTTCGGCATCGAGCAGGAGTACACCCTGATGAAGCCTGGCAAGGTTGGTGTGAAGCCCTCCGTTCCCTTGGGCTTCAACACGGATGGCAGTGAGCCAGCGCCGCAGGGACCATATTACACCGGCGCTGGCTACAACGTCGCGATTGGACGACCAGTTGCCGATGAGCATTACAAGTTGTGTGTGGAGGCTGGGGTGAAGATTTCAGGTATCAATGCAGAGGTGATGCCTGGACAGTGGGAGTTCCAGATCGGCCCATGCCGCGGCATTGAGATGGGTGACCATCTGACCATGGCTCGCTACATCATGTTGCGAGTGACGGAGAAACATGAATGCGTTTGCTCTTTTGATCCCAAACCTGCGGAGGGTGACTGGAACGGCGCTGGATGCCACACCAACTTCTCTGTGACTCCTATGCGTGTGGCTGGTGGCTATGACACCATCATCAAGGTTTGCGATGCCTTCGGCAAGGTTGCAAAGGAGCACATTGCAGAGTACGGCGAGGGCAACGACAAGCGTCTCACTGGCAAGCACGAGACCTGTGACATCAACACCTTCAAGCACCTTGCAAGAGAACTCTTGCACATCTTTTCACATCTTGCACACAAGAAGTTGTCACGCACTTGTAAATCATATTCCACGTCAGCTTTAGAGCACCGCAATTTCATTCTTTAGGGCCTTGGTGGGTGCATGCAAACAGGACACGTCCCACGGATGTGTTGATATTGCTGCTGTGGGGTCGGTCGGCTCTTTGAGGTACGGTGTGGCCAATCGCGGCGCATCCATCCGGATCCCTCGCGATGCTGAGAAGAGCGGCCGTGGCTACATGGAGGACCGCCGCCCAGCGGCCAACTGCGACCCATACCGAGTGACCCAGCAGCGAAATGTGCGTTGTTGACGCAGCCCCCACCGGCCCCCACCCTATCCACAAGTGAACGGATTGCGGACTTGTTTTGTTGGTCTGGTGGCCTTCATTTTGCTTTGTTTCTTTATCAATTTGTGAAAGACTGTTTGCGAGACTTACCATCTTGTAGAGTAGGCCTTTCTTAGCACAACTTGGCACAAGTTGTGAGCAGCACTGCAGCATGTTCCAAGCTGCCGTTCAGCTTCGCTTCATGCCTCAAGGTGACTCAGATCATCATGAAGACCACTGGCGAGTGCCTGAGCGCGGAGACCATTGAGGCTGGTGGTAAGACGCACACCGCCTTCGTGTTCATCAAACCCCATGCGAACAATGAGAAGGCCGCTGCTGCCGCTGCCGAGCTGGCTTGGCTGTATACATTGGATGTTTTTTTTGGCGGGGGTGTCCTTATTCAACAACCCATCCTCTTGGATTCGGGAAACTTTCTGAACTTCCAATCCTCATTGTTTGAAATTGAAACCACGAGCCTTCTTGACTTGTGCAGAAAACGGCTGCCATGAATTAAGCTAACATTCTGATAAAGAATCGCCAATGCAGTGAACTCTCCTGACCACCTCTGGCAAAATCAGTGGAAAAAAGCAGACACACAAACTTTTGAGCAGTGACGATGTTGCGATCCTCAGAGGCATCACCGTCTTGAGTCTTGATTCGTGCTTCGCCAGGTGCAGGCTTTGGTCAAGGAGAAGTTGACGTCCGAAGGACTGACTGTGAAGGCGGAGGGTCAGATCAAGTCCAACGTCATCGATGCTTGAGCGAGCAACTAGAGGGTAAGCCGGGTAAGCAGTGGAGATGTTGGGACACATTGCATAGCTCTGATGGCTCTGGCTTTCTTGGAATAGCGGGGCAACTTAGAATCTGCACGGCTGAGGACAAGAAGAAACTGATCGACACCCACTACGGTGCCATTGCTGCGAAGGCAGTTTTGATGAAGCCCAAGGATCTCATTGTGCAGGAGAAGTCCCAGGAGGAATTCGAGAAGATGTTGCCTGGCTGGGCAGGACTCACGAGTTATTAAGTCAGAAGGTGCCGCTGATTTTCTTGATTTTTCAGTTTTTAATCAAATTTATCCATTTCATTCAAGTTGGAACCTGTTGAACAAGGTTCGGAGTGAAGTGGAGCAAGGTCATGGAGGATGGCCTGGTCTTCAACGCCATGGATGGAGCCAAGAAGTTGGGCATCTCTCCTGATGAGCTCGGCAAGAAGTACGATGCATTGAAGAAGGGCGAGACCATCATCAAGTTCGGTGGTGGCTTCTACTGCGGAAAGGTGGATGATATCTACGCAGCTCGCACCCTCATAGTAAAAGATTTCATTCATTTTTGGATATTTTAGGCATTTTCCATTTTGTTTCTTTCCTCTGGTTCTGCTGGAGTCGCTCTGTCTTGATCTGTCTTGGATTTTGTCAGAATCTTGTGATGGTTGGAGGGATCAATGACATCACGTTCAGGTTATCAACGGCTTCTACATGAACATGCGCTCCAAGTTCACTGCACCTGGCACAAGCATCCACTACTACGAGGCAGGGCCTGTTCCTGTGTTCCTGGATACTGATGGATCCTGGAGCACAACGAACAGAATGTGGGGATAGTTATCCAAGTTATCCAAGTTATCCAAGTTATCCAGTAGTCACTACTGTAGTAGCCATTAGTAGTGCCAGTAGTAACTAGATGTATGTAACTAGCCCATTTTATGGTCAGCCGGGCCAAGACGCCGTGGGAATCCGGCGCACTGATGGATGAAAAGCTCAGGTGGAATGGCCTGCAGAGAAGCTTGGCCTGGAATGTGTTGAGCCGCGACAGAACGATGCAATTCGAATTGGAATATCGTCAAAAAAATGGTGTACACATATATATAATATAATATATATATAATATATATATATATTATACTTTATAAATACTATAAAGATATCAAAAGGCGTCGTAGGGAAAAAGGGATCTATGTTAGTTATACATGTTATTTCTTAATGGGTTTCATGTCTATAACTGTATATGTATACACTACTTGTACATATAGAAAGCATGTATGTAAATGAATAAGCATACCGTATACACATACTGTATGTATATATTACGTGTGTATATATATATGTATACAATGAGATGCTTGGCATTGAGATCTGACAAGACCAGACTTGAGCCTGAAGCAACATGTTTCCGCGGCCTTGGAACCCAGCAAGAGAAAACACGCCCGGAATCGTCAACCACCATTGTTTTTTTTTGACCAAGAGCAACACCCCGGAGGGAACAACAAACTTTTGAACTTTTTGAACATGAACCTGATATAACCTGCCTAAGGAAGATGTCCTGGGCCGACTTCCGCGGAAAGCTTCTGGGCCCCACGGACCCAGCTGCCGCTCCAGCGGGATCCCTCCGTGAGCAGATCTACAGCAAGTGGGAGGACCTGGGTCGCTTGGCAAGTCAACACTCAACACTGGACAAGGTGTGAGATGTAGGGTTGGCATTTGGGCAATTTGTCCAAGACCAAGGCTTGAAGGCGCAGCCAGCCTCTGAGCTGCAAGATGCAGACATGCAAATGGGAAGGTTGATACCATGCAAAGAGAGGGAGAGAGAGAGAGAGACGGATATATGCACACACACACATGTATATATATATATATAAATATATTTATTTATTTATTTGTATTATAGTAATAGTAATAATTATTATGAACTATACGTACGGAGAGTTGAAACAGAACAACATTTTGGAAAGTTACATTCTAGTGGGAATCTACCTTGAGAGAAGGTAATCCCTGAGTCGACGAGCGGTTTGTGCTCGTTTCCGGGCATTAGTTGGAAGGTTTGGAACCGCATTCTTTTTGATGGGAGGTTTGCAAAAATGAAACATTTGCAAGGTTTTCAAGCTGACTCAACTTGCGCAATACTGCAGTGCCACGCCTGCAGCCCTGTAGTTTGGAAAAAAGGCAATCAGATAAATATGCGCTTCTGCTATTCTTACGCTGCCCAGCCACATCACCATACTGCTCACCCATCACTGATAATGACCTCACCTGGTCTGTGAAATTTCGCCAAGGACACTGGTGACAACGGCGTGCACGCCTCTGCCAGCCCCTTTGAGGCCCTGGCGGAACGCAGCAACTGGCTCCGGGCGTCCATCTCCAAGGATCCCTTCGGCAAGGCTTTGTTGGCGAGCCGCATCCCCTTGCCCTTGCTGACCAAGGAGTGGTTGCCCGGCCTCCATGGCTAGGATGGAGTGGAATCCGAACAGACAAGAACTGGATGAAAAGAAACCCGCGAATTTTTCAATGACAGATGTAATATGGTGATGTGTGTGTGTGTGCAGGTGTCAAGGTGCCGTTTTGATATTGGCACATTCTTCGTTCTGATCCGCATCACCACCAGTTGCATTGACCCGTGCCGCTGTGTTCCCTTCCCTCGGACGAGGTTCAGCGATCCTTCCGTGGATTTTGAAGGTGCCTTAGTTGCAAATGGAGGTGCTTGGGTGCTTTTGTTTTACCGTTCTTGGGCTTTGCGGCTTTGCGCTCTTTCTCATTTGACTTCGAAACGTGACTCAGCACACTCCAAGACATGCCTGGGCGTCTGAGCTTGATATCGGATGTATCGGATCCATGCAACTCTTCGACAGAGCGGTGCACGGCGCACCTTTTCCGACGCTCACCAGCTGATACCTGGCTGACACCTGCTTCATCTTTGCCTCCCAGGTGGAAAGAAGTCTCTGTTCGACCTTTTGGAGGATCTGGACGCAGCCGCATGTTTGAAGAAGTGCGTCTCGGCTGGACCATGTCATGATCATATCAGGAACAAAGACAATGAAGATGAATTAAGTGCATTTAAATGCAACCATTGTGGCATTGCGACTGTGAGAGGTGCAAAAGATAGCCACCTAGCCACCGGTGCACGTGCGCCAAGGCAAGGAGATCGCGGTTGCTAACAAGTCCAAGTGAGCCCCGTCGATGGAAAAGACCACTGCTCCTGATGCAGGGAGCTCTGGCGACTGTATTTCTTAGGATTTCAGTTTGCAGCTATCAGAACTCATTTTGATTCAGAACAGAACAGAACCCATCATCTTGACCAGTGACCGATCACAGATGTTTGGTGTTGGTCTAGTGTTGGTGGTCACTCATGGTGATAGCTGTAATTTGGCACTGAGGCTTCTGTACAGCATCAACTTTTCAGCTTAATCTTACGTGAAAGTCGCCACACTGAGCGACAACGACAGACACATGTTGGCAGCTGCCTTTGAAAATTGAAACAGGCTCACTGCTACCGACCAAAACTTAGTCTCCTGGATTTGACGACAGGTTTGTGGTGATTTGTGGGACTATCCAGAAGAGGGCAGGCTAGTTAAAGGCACAGTGTGGGAGCGGTGCCAGGACACCACCATGCCTTTCCGGCGGAAGCTATTGGAGCTCGAGCTAATTTCCAGCGTGCGTGCAAAAGCCGCTCCGACTCGTTCCTGCGTCCTTCGACCGTCACTGCAGCAGCATGACCGACAAGCGCGTAGACCCAGCGACAGGATCAGCAGTCACGTACACAGAGCTGGTGGCCACATACAAGAAGCAGTACAAGAGGCGAGAGATCGAGGACCCGGGTTTGGCCACTTTGTGCGTGTTGACCCGTTCAAACAAACACACTCAAGCAGATTGTACTTGGCATTTGGTGAAACATTGTTTGCATACAGAGCTGTTCAATCCCGCCTGGCCGAGGATTATTGGGAGACTTGCAAGCCAGCAAAGTCGAAGAAGTCGAAGGCCGCGGCACCTACAAAGGAGTCGAAGCCCTCGAAGGCTGCCAAGCCAGAGCCTAAGGCCAAGGCCAAGGCGAAGGCAAAGGCAGCGGCCAAGGATGGCAAGAAGGAGGAAAAGCCGAAGCCCAAACCCAAGGCTGCCCCCAAGCCAGAGACGAAGATGGATGACAAGGCCGTTGTACATCTTTTCTTGGCAAGTTTTGATTTTCCGAGATTTGTTTATGTGTCAACCTCCGTTTGCGGGGTTTCGTCAGTTCAGCTGAGTGATTTCTACCTTTTCTAGATTTTGGCCCTGACCAATTACGATTCTTCTGAAGCAAGACACATTTAGTAGGATATAGTAGGATCATCCAGAAACTGGAAGCTGTCTGATTTTGCAGGTGCGCACGGGCAAGGATGGAGGTGCTTCCGCTTTGGCCAAGTTGCGTTCTTTTAGTGGGTGCGTTTCTGGGTTCAAAGATGATTGAAGATACCGTGGACATGTGAGAGTTATTCTAAAAGCACATGGGTCTGAAGATAGGCTACCCAAACATTTGATGATTAACTAATGATTACCTATCATTCTCCGCACTATAGAATAACCATTTGGGGGGCATGCAGTATGCACCCATTTTCAGATGGACTTTCTTGAAATGCCGAGGTTTTGGCTGAGTATGTTTGGTTAGATGCCGATGGCGTGACACGGTCAAAGACCATGACCATGACCGCCAGGCCTCGATGGTGGATTGTCAGGGGTTCAGTATTTAAAGCTTTGGATAGGGCATTCTAATCATTCTGTAGGCATTGTAAGCCATCAATGTTAGGCTCTCAGCTCAGATGCCGATTGAACATCATGGGATAGAGGGAATTCTGCTGAATCATGCTGTTTCCGCCCTGTCATGTCCTGTTTGCGCTTGAAAAGCAGGCCTTTGAATACGACCGACCTGAAGGTGTGGAACTACGATGGCAGCAGCACAGGCCAGGCAGACGGCCACAATTCGGAGGTGCTTTTGAAGCCACGGGCGATTTTCAATGACCCCTTCCGAGCCTTGCCTCTGCTATGCGTCGTGCTTGTTTCGTGTGTTCATTTGATCTGGTTTGAGAGATTTGCTGTCCCTTCCGGTCCCTGCAGAGGGTGCTTTACTGATTTTCTGCACTCAGGTGGCTACCCTCACGTCATGGTCCTTGCTGATGCCTGGAATGCATGGGATGACCAGCCTGCCAAGAACAACACACGCGCCAAGTGTGCCGAGACTATGAACATGTACCGTTCCTTGGACCCTTGGTTCGGCATTGAGCAGGAGTACACCCTGATGAAGCCTGGCAAGGTTGGTGTGAAGCCCTCCGTTCCCTTGGGCTTCAACCAGGATGGCAGTGAGCCAGCGCCGCAGGGACCATACTACACCGGCGCTGGCTACAACGTCGCGATTGGACGACCAGTTGCCGATGAGCATTACAAGTTGTGTGTGGAGGCTGGGGTGAAGATTTCAGGTATCAACGCAGAGGTGATGCCTGGACAGTGGGAGTTCCAGATCGGCCCATGCCGCGGCATTGAGATGGGTGACCATCTGACCATGGCTCGCTACATCATGTTGCGAGTGACGGAGAAACATGAATGCGTTTGCTCTTTTGATCCCAAACCTGCGGAGGGTGACTGGAACGGCGCTGGATGCCACACCAACTTCTCTGTGACTCCTATGCGTGTGGCTGGTGGCTATGACACCATCATCAAGGTTTGCGAAGCCTTCGGCAAGGTTGCAAAGGAGCACATTGCAGAGTACGGCGAGGGCAACGACAAGCGCCTCACTGGCAAGCACGAGACCTGTGACATCAACACCTTCAAGTACCTTGCAAGAAAACTCTTGCATATTTTGCCACATTTTGCACACAAGAAGTTGTCACGCACTTGCACATCATGTTCTGAGTCAGCTTTAGAGCACCACAATTTCATTCTTTTGGGCCCTGGTGGGTGCATGCGAACAGGACAGGACCCACGGATGTGTTAACATGGCTGCTGTGGGGGTCGGTCGGCTCTTTGAGGTACGGTGTGGCCAATCGCGGCGCATCCATCCGCATCCCTCGCGATGCTGAGAAGAGCGGCCGTGGCTACATGGAGGACCGCCGCCCAGCGGCCAACTGCGACCCATACCGAGTGACCCAGCAGCGAAATGTGCGTTGTTGACGCAGCCCCCACCGGCCCCCACCCTATCCACAAGTGAACGGATTGCGGACTTGTTTTGTTGGTCTGGTGGCCTTCATTTTGCTTTGTTTCTTTATCAATTTGTGAAAGACTGTTTGCGAGACTTACCATCTTGTAGAGTAGGCCTTTCTTAGCACAACTTGGCACAAGTTGTGAGCAGCACTGCAGCATGTTCCAAGCTGCCGTTCAGCTTCGCTTCATGCCTCAAGGTGACTCAGATCATCATGAAGACCACTGGCGAGTGCCTGAGCGCAGAGACCATTGAGGCTGGTGGTAAGACGCACACCGCCTTCGTGTTCATCAAACCCCATGCGAACAATGAGAAGGCCGCTGCTGCCGCTGCCGAGCTGGCTTGGCTGTATACATTGGATGTTTTTTTTTTTTTGGGGGGTGTCCTTATTCAACAACCCATCCTCTTGGATTCGGGAAACTTTCTGAACTTCCAATCCTCATTGTTTGAAATTGAAACCACGAGCCTTCTTGACTTGTGCAGAAAACGGCTGCCATGAATTAAGCTAACATTCTGATAAAGAATCGCCAATGCAGTGAACTCTCCTGACCACCTCTGGCAAAATCAGTGGAAAAAAGCAGACGCAAAACTTTTGAGCAGTGACGATGTTGCGATCCTCAGAGGCATCACCGTCTTGAGTCTTGATTCGTGCTTCGCCAGGTGCAGGCTTTGGTCAAGGAGAAGTTGACGTCCGAAGGACTGACTGTGAAGGCGGAGGGTCAGATCAAGTCCAACGTCATCGATGCTTGAGCGAGCAACTAGAGGGTAAGCCGGGTAAGCAGTGGAGATGTTGGGACACATTGCATAGCTCTGATGGCTCTGGCTTTCTTGGAATAGCGGGGCAACTTAGAATCTGCACGGCTGAGGACAAGAAGAAACTGATCGACACCCACTACGGTGCCATTGCTGCGAAGGCAGTTTTGATGAAGCCCAAGGATCTCATTGTGCAGGAGAAGTCCCAGGAGGAATTCGAGAAGATGTTGCCTGGCTGGGCAGGACTCACGAGTTATTAAGTCAGAAGGTGCCGCTGATTTTCTTGATTTTTCAGTTTTTAATCAAATTTATCCATTTCATTCAAGTTGGAACCTGTTGAACAAGGTTCGGAGTGAAGTGGAGCAAGGTCATGGAGGATGGCCTGGTCTTCAACGCCATGGATGGAGCCAAGAAGTTGGGCATCTCTCCTGATGAGCTCGGCAAGAAGTACGATGCATTGAAGAAGGGCGAGACCATCATCAAGTTCGGTGGTGGCTTCTACTGCGGAAAGGTGGATGATATCTATGCTGCTCGCACTCTCAAACGATCTTAATTGTTTGTGGCATTTTCCATCTTGTTTCGTTTCTTTGGTTCTGCTAAAGTTGGTTTCTCTTGAGTATCAGAATCTTGTGATGATGATTGGAGGGGTCAGGTGTTTGGAAACTGAATTGCGTGATCATGGCACGCTCAGGTCATCAACGGCTTCTACATGAACATGCGCTCCAAGTTCACTGCGCCTGGCACAAGCATCCACTACTACGAGGTGAACTTTTGTGCAGCGAAGACTTGAACAATTTGATGAATCAACAAGGACTTTGGAGATTCCTGTTGCATACTTGGGAGGTATGTCTTTTATTGACTCAGGAACTTCTTTGGTTTGCATGGTTTGAAGGCGTTGAAATCAACGACCTAATGACCACATTAGGATATCACATTGCCATCCTCCCACGCGTCACATGCGCAGGTGGAGTGGCCTGCTGAGAAGCTTGACAGATGATACATCAGAACGCCATTGAGACCTTGCAAGCCAGGGAACAAACAGAAACATCAGTAGATATCAGGAGCAACTGCAGTAGCAACTGCAAAGACATGGCTTTTCTGCCCCAATTTTTTTGGGGAACCACGACTCTAAGGAAGATGTCCTGGGCCGACTTCCGCGGAAAGCTTCTGGGCCCCACGGACCCAGCTGCCGCTCCAGCGGGATCCCTCCGTGAGCAGATCTACAGCAAGTGGGAGGACCTGGGTCGCTTGGCATGCGTCCATTTCTGCGCCCACAAAAACACGATGCTGTGCAATGAGTTCATGTGCTCAGCTGTTGATCGCACAGAAAAATGATAAACATGCATGCAGCTACACTGCCTTGGGCCCTTTTGGCAGCAGAACCAGAATAACAGAGAATCAGATAATGGCAGTAAGTCGATATCCCAACTTTGCACAGTTTCGGCTGCTTCAGGCTTGAAGGCCCAGCCAGTATCTGAGCGGCAACGCAGTCACAGTGATGAACACGTTGTTTGAAGTGAATGGGGGTCTGTTGTTTAAAGTCTTGCGACCACATGTCTCGACCCTTGCCAAGGACACTGGTGACAACGGCGTGCACGCCTCTGCCAGCCCCTTTGAAGCCCTGGCGGAACGCAGCAACTGGCTCCGGGCGTCCATCTCCAAGGATCCCTTCGGCAAGGCTTTGTTGGCGAGTGGCATCCCCTTGCCCTTGCTGACCAAGGAGTGGTTGCTTGGCACCATCGAACCTGTCTTGAAGGTACAGCTTCAGCACAGCTATGCACAGCTATGTATAGCTTCAGGCGAGTGCTAGCCGGGGCATTGTTTTTTTGAAAGGCTGATGGTGGACTCAGGTTCAGCGATCCTTCCGTGGAGTTTGAGGGTGTCTTGACTCAGCTGGAGTGGTTGTGGCGAATTGCTTGCGACTGTTGAACACTCACAGGAGTGACCTTCAGGAAAACTTGGATAAGATGGCTTGATAAGATGGCTCGAATTGGTGCGTTTTGTAGATCATGGGCCGAATGTAGGCAATTGGAAGAGCCCCAAGCAAACAGTACCATATAGTACCATAGAACAGAACATCCCCATTTCCCCATTAATTATATAGATATGATACCATAGAGCATCCCCATTAGATATAATATATAAATCATCACATCATCTCCCCTCTGTCCGGGTCTCCCGAGGTGGGAAGAAGTCCCTTTTCGATCTCCTGGAGGACCTGGATGCCGCTGCGTGCGTGAAGAAATGCCTCCTGGACCAATGTGATGCACAAATTCAGAACGGACCGTACATGGCACGCAGACATGCACAAGCACATGTAGGTGTGTAGGTATGTGTTGCAATGCAATACAATGTAATGTAGTGTAGTGTAATGTAGTGTAATGTAATGTAGTGTAATGTAGTGTAATGTAGTGTAATGTAATGTAGTGTAATGTAATGTAAAGTAACGTAATGTAATGTCATGTAATGTAGTGCAATGTAGTGTAATGTAGTGTAATGTACTGTAATGTGATGTAGTGTAATGTAGTGTAATGTAGTGTAATGTAGTGTAATGTAATGTATTTGAACGTAATATAGTGTAATGTAATGTATATAATGTAATGTAGTGTAATGTAATGTAGTGCAATGTAGTGTAATGTAGCGCAATTGGAGACCGACACTGGCAAGAAACGGCGCAAAAGGTGAACTTCTCTGGGTCTATGTCCATGAAGAGACCTTATGAGAGGATTCTGAGTGCCGGGCTAATTCGTATGAGTCTCATGCATCCAGGATGCGAAGATTTCCTGATGCAAGGGAACATATTTAAAAGGGCGCATGAACCTATGATCTAATTCGAAGGGTGCACGGAAACCGGATCGGACATCGCCGACCGGGAGTACGTAATCCCCAAGAATGGTAGATCTGCGGCGAAACAATTTTGGACAAACAAGAGGGACTTAATTAGCGGCAAATGGAGCTTGTGCACACTCCAATTGTTTCAAACTGACGCTTGCTCCTGTGCTCGGTGCCCCGACCAATGGACGTCGCCATGGTCGGGAAGGACCGGGCATGGGGGGTGTGATTGGAGTGTAGATTACAGTAGACAGTCATGTACAGTCATGTGCATTCCTTTTCAGCTCCGCCCATCACGCCGCTTTTGGCTCAAGAACGCCGACCCTCCGAGCAGAAGGAAAACTGTCGCGCATACTGCTTCATGCCGGTTGAACTATAGAGACTACACGATCATTGAGGTCATCAATTACACGTTGTATCAAAGGGCACAACCCTTTCACATAGTATAATGTAGTGTAATGTAGTGTAGTGTAATGTAATGTAATGTAGCGTAGTGTAATGTAATGTAGTGTGATGTAGTTTCATGAAGCAGTGTAGTGTAACGTAATGTAATGTAATGTAGTGTAGTGTAGTGTAATGTAGTATAATGTAGCGTAATGTAGCGTAATGCAATGTAATGTAGTGTAGTGTAATGTAGTATAATGTAGTGTAATGTAGTGTAGTGTAGTGTAGTGTAATGTAGTGTAATGTAGTGTAATGTAGTGTGATGTAGTGTGATGTAGTGTAATGTGATGTAGTGTAATGTAGTGTAATGTAGTGCAATGTAGCGTAATGCAATGTAATGTAATGTAATGTAAATGTAGTGTAATGTAGTGTAATGTAGTGTAATGTAGTGTAATGCAATGTAATGTAGTGTAGTGTAATGTAGTATAATGTAGTATAATGTAGTGTAATGTAGTGTAATGCAATGTAGTATAATGTAGTGTAATGTAGTTTAATGCAATGTAATGTAGTGTAGTGTAATGTAGTATAATGTAGTGTAATGTAGTGTAATGCAATGTAATGTAGTGTAGTGTAATGTAGTATAATGTAGTGTAATGTAGTGTAATGCAATGTAATGTAGTGTAGTGTAATGTAGTACAATGTAGTGTAATGTAGTGTAATGCAATGTAACGTAGTGTAGTGTAATGTAGCATAATGTAGTGTAATGTAGTGTAATGCAATGTAATGTAGTGTAGTGCAATGTAGTACGATGTAGTGTAATGTAGTTTAATGCACTGTAATGTAGTGTAGTGTAATGTAGTATAATGTAGTGTAATGTAGTGTAATGCAATGTAATGTAGTGTAGTGTAATGTAGTATAATGTAGTGTAATGTAGTGTAATGCAATGTAATGTAGTGTAGTGTAATGTAGTATAATGTAGTGTAATGTAGTGTAATGCAATGTAATGTAGTGTAGTGCAATGTAGTACAATGTAGTGTAATGTAGTGTAATGCAATGTAATGTAGTGTAGTGTAATGTAGTATAATGTCGTGTAATGTAGTGTAATGTAGTGTAATGTAGTGTAGTGTAATGTAATGTAATGTAGCATAGTGTAATGTAATGTAGTGTGATGTAGTTTCATGTAGCAGTGTAGTGTAACGTAATGTAATGTAATGTAATGTAGTGTAGTGTAATGTAGCGTAGTTTCATGTAATGTTCACAGGCAGGCAGGCAGGCAGGCAGGCAGACAGGCAGACAGACAGACAGACAGACACGCATACAGACACACACATGCGCGCACACACACATATATATATAGACATTTACATTTTTAATCGCACACACACATATAATATATATATATAAATATCTGTGTGTCCATTTGCAAATGAAAACCGCAAAAAACACATATAAATATAATCGTATGCATGGCACACCGAGCACACAGACACCACACAAGTGATCAGCGCTCTAAAGGCGCATGGTGTTTTGAGAACGGCTGGGCACTTCCAGGTAAGGATATTGCCTTGGCGAATAAGTGAGCGCGTAGTCGATCTGGGAAAGCTGCAGCCTTCATTTGCCAAACAGATGCCGACAGCCATGGCATTTGCGACCCCGGGATGCGTGTCAGGCACTGTCTTGGCCGGCCCTTCTAGTCACGAAATCAGATGCCTGAAACTGCTGGCAACTGTATCTCTTATAGATTTTCAACTTGCATCAATCCCACCTGTGCGAGTGCCATGAGTTGTGCACTTGGAGACGAACGTAATTACATTGATACAGTCAAAACATGTTGCCACCATCTCTCTCGGATACTGCTTTGCGCGGCACGTGATGGGCATTGGTGTGATTTGGCACGGGAACTTTCCCAGCTCCAATACATCTTTAACCTTATGTGTACCTCTAGCCGCACAGAGCATTATGGAAGAAAATATGCTGGACCTTCAACAAGCCGGTGTAAATATTGGTGGGTCAGCTGTCCTGCTGAGCCACGTTGAGCCTGCCCAACAGTGCCCCAGGTCCGACTGGAAGGTGGAAGCGGGGAATTCGCGTTCAAGGAGGCTGGGCACAGGAGACCCTCAGTCACTGAGTAGAACTTTACTGAAGCATCGGAGCGGGCGTGCATCAGTTTTTTTCAAGGTTCATATTGATTTGAATCTGTAAGGTGTCTGACAAGACTTAGTCACAGATAGCAAGACAATTGTGTACTTCTACACGTGGACTGCCAACCAGTCACTGTAACCAGTCCTTGTTTCTGCGAATTCGTTGTTGATCAACCAAAAGGTACCTGCAGCTTAATGTGTATATATATGTATATATTTAATATATTAATATATCCCAAGACCTATATATCTTTTTTGGTATGTGCAGTGTGTGTATATATATATATATACATATGTCAGTATATGTCTATATATATATATAAAACACATATATACATATATTATATCAATCAAACATTCTTTTCAATTCTTTTCCCTTTTTCCTTTTCTTCCATTGCCGGCATAGGCGAACTTGCAGCTCCTGGTGGCCAGGGGCTAAGCAGCTGGTCACCATTCACGCGATTCACGTCCGATTTACCACTTGGTTGGGTAAGAAACTCGCGTGCCAACCCCAATCGAAGGGCTTAGTTCGCTTAGTGCAGATGTGTCTTGCTTGATCTCGTACCGGCTCAAATCGTTTGGTGGAGCCTTTCTGTGAAAGTCTCAGAGAGAAAAACGCCTCTTTGCTAGAATCGCGGCGCTCTGGTTCCATAATTGTCGATTGGAAAATGAGGATGCAGCCTGTTTCCCCCTCCGTGTGATGTCTGTTTCCACCTACCCATTGAAGGTGATGTGAAGTGGTGTGAAATGATTACGAACTTATCCGGTAGGATCTGGGTTTGACATGGCTGTCATCAACATGACTTGAAATATATTCCCATCTTATGGACGATAACCCCCAAATCCAGGGGATTTTTAGATATCCCTACTACATGTGGTAAACCTCATAGTAAACCATTTATTGGTGCTATGTTTACCATTCCCAAACGGCAGTTGTTACCACTATAGACTATCTAGGATTCCGTTTATGGATATACCTCTCTCCCTCTATATGGTTTAAGACCTATGGTAGTTGGTTTATTCTTCAGATCCCCAGGCAGGTGGCAGCTCCGAGGGGGTGCCAGTCCTGGAGGCGTTGGATGAGATGCTCAGCCAGGCTGGGCGCCAGAATCTTAGAAATATGATGATCAATTGATCAATGTGCATTTTAATTTCATTAAGGGGAAAATCATCCAGAAATGAGATTTCGTTATTGCCGATCAAAGGAGGGGAATATGAATAACCCGTTCGGATGTAGCATGATGGGCTGATGGTACGGACATTTTCGTGATGCTTTAGGGGGTATTCTGATGTTGCAGTCATCAGCAACTATCATGGGATACAATGGGCAATCTATTCGAAACAGAACCGGGCAACCACTCAAGAGTACCCAGATGATTTTGCTGAGTTTCGCACAGATTCAATGAAATGGCGATGGGACAGGCGCTGGGTAATTGGGGAGGTGTAAATGTAAATATATACTCTGGGTAAGAAAGACCTATGACCAATGCCAGCGTGTCTCGGCTTCTCCAGAAGATTTTGAGGTGGAAGTCACATCAACCCACATCGCCGAAGACATTTGTGGAATTTTAGCCTGAGTTACAGTAGCCCTGCGGCCCATTGGCGAATTTCAGAGAAGCATGCTTGTCATTGGAGAGCCATTCTCATTGGAGCGACTTCCATAAATCCAAAATAATATCGCTCTGGATGCGGAGGGAAAAGGGCCATATTTTCGGTCTAAGCAACTTGCAGCAGACATCAGCAGACTTTCAAGTGCCACGCCGAAACGAGACTGCCGATGGCTCCGGCCCGCCCCGGCCGGCCTGGAACCCTGAGGGCGATTGGGTGCTGGCCCGTTCGGCGCAGCTGCGACAGTTGGGCCTTGCAAGGTGACCCAACCAAATCCCATGGCGTGGCTCACAGTGCACGGAAGGGGATACAATATGATACAATGAATTGCCCCAAAAAAACTTGGAGACACTCAAGTGGTCACCCTTGACGCACTACATTCACTACATCTCTTTGCTTGTACTTGGTGCAAAAGTCATGACGAGCTTTCCCATTGCAAATTTCATCGAAGGGAAGGCCCAGGGATTTTTAGGCAGTTAGCATTAGCATCAGTTTCCATGAGGCAGCATCATGTACCAGTACCATTTGCAATCATTTGCCATCAGTTTTCATCAGTTGCAATGGGGATTTCAATGGACTTCAGCCTTTTCAGCCCTAGTTCGTCAGCTCTTCATCACAGCTGCCATGGCGACGTCTGGCACGCCATCGCTGAGCCCGCGAAGTCCAAGTCGAAACCTCTTCGAGGTGAAGCGGCTGTTCTCCGCATCATCCGATGAAAGGTTCAACCTGGTGGTGGTGGTGGTGGTGGGGCTTTACATTGGGGGGACGTGGCTACTGTTGAAGGCTGTTTGAGCTTGGTGTCACTGGAATTGCACCAAATTACTGGGGTTGAAGGGGGGCATTTTGTGCAGAAGTGCAGAAATGTTGAAGAATCCTGGATGGTGTGGAGGCGTCTCCGGTGTCTGGACACCAGCAATGACAGCGGACAGCTGGATGAGCGACAGCTGGCGATGCTGAAGACGCGGGCAGCTTCCAGCAGGTATGGGCTCCACTAGATTGCACATCATTGCACTAGATATGCCGCTTTGGAAGGCCTTTTGAACTTAAGCTTGCCCCATTTAATGTTGTCATCCGGGTGTGCCAGCACCACACCCCCAACAAAAACGCCTCGGAACAACACATCCAATCCATTGGGACAGTTTCCGATGAATGCAGGCTCTCTCAGTGCAAGGCTAAGATCACTGCTGTGGCTATGCGGATGGATCAGCTGCAGCGACGGCCCATGGGCTCTGCAGTGCAAAAGGATCTCGAAGAGGTTGGAAGGTGCACTGGGGAGCGATGTGCTACGGGCTGAATGCGGAGGGACGACCCAGGGGTGACCGCAAGATATTGACATATAGCGACTGAGTTTTAAACAACATGTTTGAAATATGTGTGGCCCTTCCACCAGATTCCATCCATTTCCTAATTCGCCCTGTTTCTCTGGAGGTTTCTTCTTGAGATAGCCCTGCTATTGAGCAGCGCCGTCACTGATCGATCCACCTCGAGATCCCGAACACCGAGCCCCAGACGGAGGCCCACGGACGCCCGTGGAGCTGGGGGAGCGTGGATATTTGTAGATAATGGGCTAATGGGCCGATAACATTTCAATTTGTAGATGATCAAGGGTCAAGAGATAATACCATTTGATATCAGATATATTTGATTCATTCTTTATCAGCTATATGGGGTGACATACATTTTTTGAAGCAAACATATCTCATACCTCAGATTATGTCCTTGCAATAGCATTTGCTCAAGCTGAAACCGGAATTTAGTTTTGATGGTGGAGATTCTAAGCAAAGTTGAACTTGTGGGATTGTTGCCTTTTGAGTCATGCAGATATCTTCACCTCCGAATGGTTGAAAGACAGCTTGGGATCAACCAAAGCAATTGCGGCTCATCGATGCATTAGACGTTTTGGTGTGTTCCCTTTGGCGCGATGCCCAACATGACTTTGGCGGGCTGCAGGCAGCCAGAGTCCCCACGCTTTGGAGCTTCGAATGTGGGGGTGCTCGGTTCATGCTGCAAGGGGCCGTTTGTGCATCGTGAGATAGGAGTGAAGTCAGATAAGTCAGTTTCCCAGGGAGGATTTGTTGCCCTTTTTGAGCATGAGTTGCGAAGGGGGCTTCAAGGCACCAGTCCCATTTCTTTAGAGTTGGATTCAGCTCTTGCTACATCTTTTTACCAGTTTGTGCCATCAGTCCCTGCGCCAGTCCCTGCGAGAGATCTGGAGCCCCAACAGTGCAAGATCGCAACATACCCAGAGCGGTGGGCTTGTGGATGGGTTGTTTTTCAGGTTAAGAGTGATGAGAGTAAACGCCATCGATTGATTCTGAATAGTTTTGAACATGGCTTAAATCAGCAGATGTCAGGCTTTGCGGCTTTGCCATTGCTCATCGCCTTGCGCTCCACATGTGGCTGAGGCTTAGCCCAAGGCGCGATCCATGTGTCACAATGCGTGTTCCGGAGGACTGGCCCGTGACGGTCTTTCAGGTCGATTTTCAGTATATTGACTTGCACTGTTGACATGGAAGTAAGATGGACTGGGCACAACCTGCCTTAAAATAGTCTTGAGAATGACAATTGTGAAGAATCTATACTATACCAAACACAAGGCTGCTCATTCTCGCTGAGGCTCGAATTGGAATGCATGCAACATGTTTATTCCCCAACAGCATAAGCTAATGGGGTCTTCAGCCCAGAATAGCTCCGGTGTGCACTGGTGCAGGCGCCGGGTCAGGTTCAACGAGGTTCCGGAGAAGGTTGCGAAGGTTCCGGAGAAGGTCTGGGAGGCTTTGTGCAGAGCCAGGTCAGAGCCAGGTCATGTTCAACAGGGTTCCGGAGAAGGTTCCGGAGAAGGTCTGGGAGGCTTCGGTGCAGAGGGTTCCTGAGAAGGTTCCGGAGAAGGTTCCGGAGAAGGTTCCAGAGAAGGTTCCAGAAAGCTTTGGTGCAAAGCCAGGTAAAATTCAATAGGGTTCCGGAGAAGGTTCTGGAGAAGGTTCCAGGAAGCCTTGGTGTCGGACAGGCTTTGGTGCAGAGCCAAGGTCAGGTTCAACAGGGTTCCGGGGAAGGTTCCGGAGAAGGTTCCGGAGAAGGTTCCAGAGAAGGTTCCGGAGAAGCTTCCGGAGAAGGTTCCGGAGAAGGTCTGGGAGGCTTTAGTGCAGAGCCAGGTCAGGTTCAACAGGATTTGCGGCCATTTAACTCACAGAAACCCAGCTGAAGTGTTTCCAGCACTTTGCTTCGCAGCACGCTTCAGAAAGATTTGTAAGAATAAACGATTGCGGCTGTTGGGGGTACCACCAAAGCTTATTTTTCTTTGAGCGCCATAGTGAAATATTATGCGTGAATACAATGCAGGCCAGGTACTACCCCATATAGGTCATGTGTCAGAGCCACACGGGAAGGAGACCTTTATCGCATCCCGTTGTTTGGCTCAAGCAACGCTAGACCGCTGGAACAGGAAAGAAGGGGTTTGCTGCGCTTTGTGGGCTTGAGGATCGCGGGCCTTCAAAGACTTTCAAGGACTAGACACGGAGTACTAACAGGTCTGTACCCAATCTCAGGTTATCAGCCGTACGCTCTACCCTGGGGCGTACGGTGGTCCTACAACTAACTGCTCAAGAGCTACTTCCATACAACCTTCGGCCAGGCTTCACATTGCAAAGCTTGACTGGTGGCTGATTGGACGCGGCTCCTCCTCATCGACTTCGGAAACCCCTTGCCCTACTACCAGTCGATTGGACTGGTGTAAACAGAAGTGGTGTGAAGCACAGTAACCGAAGTGATGTCGCAGACCAATACTAGCAGCAATGAAACCCATATGTCCTTTGCGGCCCCGGCCCGTCCATCGGTGGCTTTCAGCAGCAGTGCGCATAGCAGAGCTTCTGCGAGCCACGGCCAATCTAATGCAAGGGGAACACCACAGAGATCGTCTTCGGCAAGATCAGCGAGGCGACCTTCGAGACTTGCTATAGCGGACAAAAAAGTAATGTAGGTCTTTCGGCCAACATTACACGGAGTAACGGTGCAAGTCCTTCGGCGGGCACCGCGAAACGTAAGCCCTCCAACAGCGCGACTCCGGGCGAAATTGAATTTCGCAAGCAACTTCTACATGTCAGCAATGAGATGGATAAGAGTGAGAAAGCTAGGTATGAACTCGAAGAAAGAGTCAGCTTGTTTAAGGATGCATTACGTCATCGCAATGAAGCAATGTGTGAAATGAACATCTATTCCAACTACAAATTCGACATGTACCAACGATATGTCTCCACTGAGATTGAGTACATGAGGGAATCACTAGCCAGTGCAGCACGTATCATGAGTGAACAGTCGGAGGCTCTTGCTGAGGCACATCTCATGGTTGAAGGTTCTACCATGAGGATCATGGAACTTGGTCGTCGCAATGAGCTTGCTGAGGATGGAGCACGACATATCATTCAAGAAAGTGAAATGGCATGGCAGCGCTGCAAAGCCGACGGATCAGATGACGTCAAGAACGCCCTAAATAAGCTCCGCGACATCCTCACCAAGAAGAAGTTAGAAGCCGAGGAGAGCCAGGAGAAAGACGGGGCGGAAGAGGATCAACAACAAGAAATGGAGAAGTCGAAGCACCCATCAGGAAAACAAGGTGAGAGTATGTACTCCACCCCTCTTACTTAAGAGCGGAAACCGAGTCCATGGAGGGATGAGCTATTGTGGAGCCCGTGTGGATAGAGACGGCCGTGCCAATCACGCAGAACTGGACGAGATCCTGAACACGGGACGGTGATGTCATGCGAGGAGGCCATGGACGCACACCTGCTGCGTCAGACCGCCCGATGTACAAGAAGTTGAACGTCAGAACCTGCATCGGATGCCTCAAAACTCTACCGATCTATGGAGGCATCTTCAGGGCAACAGCCGTCGCAGGCAATGGACTCCAGCAAACCCCAGGTGACAACAGAGAGAATGAATCCCTCTTCATGGCCAACTGGGAAATCAAGCTGAGCTACAGAGCCAACAAAGTCCTACGACATCATGTTGGAAGACATCAGGTCTGGGAGAAGGACTACCAAAGATACTTCCCCGGACTGAGGTGTGACGAGGCTGGATGGGTCGACATCCACGACTTCATGAAAAACGATCCGTGTATGACAAGGCAGCAACGGCCAATCTCGGCTCCGACGGCAACCACACGGCATCCACAATCAGACACCGAGTCAAGCAACTCATCAGGATGCAATGGGCTGAGTACCAGAGGAAGACGAGAAGAGTGAGATGGTACGCTCTCAACGAGACGTTCACAGTGCCAGACGACTTCCTCGTGGGCGAGCTGGGTGTCGATACAGTGATGCAACGGCTCATCCCTGAGGATGGATCGGGGATCTACTTAGCTGCTATAGCTCCCATTGCAATCCGATCTCCAAGTGCGCACTCATCAAGGCCTGGAAGTCTGAAGCTTGAGCTGGAAAAGATCCAGCATTCGTTGACATCAGAAATCACAGGGGTGTTCAAGTATTGCTTCCACATCGCCGAGATCAGGAACCTCGACATGATAGTCCAAGGAAGGCTGCGACCTGGGGGGGGACGAGAAGGTAGGATGCAGATTTTCTTCAGCCCTTTTGCATCTTGGGACAGAAGGTTTGATCGAAGCTGACACACCTCAGAACCACGACGACTTCAAGAAGTACCTGGCAGCGCTTGAAGCCTGCAGGCGGGACTCAAACCCTCAGCCCCAGTGACCCACTGAGGAGCAGGGTTGTGACATTCCTGGCGGAGAACTACACCTCGAAGGAAGCTGGCAGAGTGATGTGCCCAGCATGTCTGTTCGAGACTCCACATGATCTCACGATCTGCCTGAACTTCCGCAGAACCCTCGTGAGCTACGGAGATAGGACCCAGACAGAAGATGAACAACAACTTCAACGAGATGATGGCGGATCCGATGACCTCCCAGAAGATGACGGTCAACAACAGGATGAGGACGTCGACGAGGTCGATGAGCTCATCCGAAAAGCAAAAGCAACGGCCAGACAACAACAGGCTGAGCATGCTGGCCATGAGGAGCACAAGTATCCAGATCGCACGATATGGACACTGACTGGTGACGATCAGAACTTTGATCGACCACGCGCTCCACCACCCGAGCCACTATCTGGAGTCCATACTCATGAAGAGAGAGAGAGCCCCGGGAACGAGAGGATGAGGAGGCAAGAAGGGAACAAGAGAGCGCAAAAACAGAGGGAGGAGACCGAAAGGAAAGCCAACCCTCTTCCTATCTGGGCAATCCGGCTTGTTCCCGGATGCATCATTGAATGCACCACTGAGGCAGTCAATGTCGACGCAGTGGACGGGGCAGCGCGCGTTATCGACGTGGTCATCATGATGCATAACGATGTTTGAATTCGATAGCTCCGATAGCTACTATCCTCACCTCGGGGCAGACAAACATTGCGAACTGAAACCTCCAAGAGAAGAAGAGATGAAAGCCTTGTTTGAGAAGAAGAAGTCCAGTGAGGGAGAAACCGGAGGAAGAAATGAAGAAGTGTACTTGCGAATAACGATTGGCACGCGAATCATGCGCAGATTGATGAAGCATCTGGTCGAGACGGGCATGAAACCTGCGAGCTTCACCACAATGTTTGCCGACAATCCCAACATCAACGACCAGGAGAGGGAGGCGCTCAGAAGGAGAAGCTCATCTATGGTGAGAACTAATCCTTGGGACATTTGGCGTGAAGAGCTGCGACTACTTCAGGGCCAACTACCCATTGGAGGATCCACCTTCTGCGCAGTGACCAAGAAGGTCAGAGCGTATTCCGGATCGTTGACGCTAGTGAAGCAAGGCCTACTGCGGCCAGATCAACTTATGGAACAACATGAAGCGAAGCAGCAAGCAGCCATGAAGAGTGAGCGTCAGATGATCGCCCAAACTGCACATCTTGATCAAGAGGAGCGAGAACGCCACATGAACTACATGCGTGCCATTGCTTCCGGCAGCCAAGAAACACCCGATGCCTTCGAATCAGCCACTCCAGGAGCTTCGAGGAAGAAGAAATGTCCAAAAGCGAAGTAGATGCCGAAGATCATCCCAAAGGGCACCTGAGAGAGGCACCTGAGAGCCGGAGTAATTCAAGCTCCAAATTTTGAGATAAAGCCAGAGTAAAACCTCTGGTAGTACTAGCCTTCGATGATTCGTGCAAGGTGCATTCGTGAAGCGGGCACGTCCTTCGGCGAGCCAGTGGATCCATGCATAATTCGGGGAACCACGCAATTCTTTCGAAGAGCATGAGGAACCGGACAGCGTTGATATAGGAAACACGATTTTGAAGAAGGCAAATGGTGCCAATTTCATTTAATTAAGGTGAGGATAGGTGAGGAAATCTCAGCCCTGGCACTTACTCTCCTGCGCCCAAGCCTCAAACTCTCGATGGGCGTGGGGTGTGTGAATACAATGCAGGACAGGTTCTACCCCATAGGTCATGTGTCAGAGCCACACGGGAAGGAGACCTTTATCGCATCCCGTTGTTTGGCTCATGCAACACTAGACCGCTGGAACAAGAAAGAAGGGGTTTGCTGCGCTTTGTGGGCTTGAGGATCGCGGGCCTTCAAAGACATTCAAGGACTAGACTAGACTTACGAATAGCTCACGGAGTACTAACAGGTCTGTATCCAATCTCACTATGAATATTCTGATGAAGAGGCTCCTTGCAGCATGGTCGGGTGGTGTATTCTGAGACATTCTCATTTTGGGCATTTTTAAAACCCCATTGCAATTGTTTGGGTTCTGGCTTAGAAGTTCCTGGCGGCATGCATCCCAACAGGACAAAATCAAATCATGCCAAATCAGAATCATTACCAGAAAGGTCTAAAAAGTACCAAGCTTACCAAGCACAAAATATCTTTTGGACCTAGTTTTTCCGAGAAGGCAGACGTTTTCACAATTTCTGAATAAGGTATGACCGGATGGGCTGCCCTGCAGGAGGCACTACTCACCAAGCGAGCACAAAATCTGATGCTTTGGGCGCTGGGCAGCTATGGGGCCGCAGCGCCCAGTGCCCAGTGCCTGGGCATGAAGATGCTGATGGATGATGTTAGCATTGTCATGCACAGATATGCACAGTATTTTTCCCCAAAGGAAGAACAGCAAGAAACAGGGTAGGGTGCCCCAGTCTGCGCAAAGACCTTCAGCCAAAAGCAAAAGGATTTTTCTGAGATCTTTCGGCTCCCCAGCGAGAAAAAGGTATGATTGCCCATGATCGTTCCCAATTTCAACAACACCTTGGCATGTCCCCCAAACACATCTCCCAAAAGCATTCCGAATCATCCTATCCCAACCATCCCAATCATCTGGATAAATTATAGCGACCTCACTGTTCTACCTCACTGGAATGTTCGGATCAGGGTAACTCTCCCAAAATAGCCCAACATTTGTCTGATTTCAATTGATTTCAGGTCAATGATGATTTTTTTCTCATTTACCTTCTGGTAAACTAACAGGTCGCGCCGCCCTGGGCAACTGGTGTTTTTTGGCGCCTTTTGTTCTTTGCGCCTTGTGCTCTCTCGCGCCATTATCAGCAAGCGTTGCAAGCTTTGGCCAAGTGTTTGAGAAAGTGCAATGGAACATTCCCCAACAAGCTAATTTATATAAGTACAGTATATATGTATAAATAATTTATATTTATATTATATTTATATATATATAAATATACATGTGATATATATATATATATACATATATATATATATGTCTCTGTGTGTGTATGTATGTCCGTAAGTGGATATTTGTGTGCATAAATATAAACAAAAAGACATGTACATTTGTATGTATATAATAGGGAAATGAATGTATATTTATGCACGTGTTTATATACATATATATGTATATAAATGTGATTTTCATTGTGTAATATTGTATATATATATATATATATAACCCAGGCAACCCCAAAGTTCATGAAGCATACATGACTGGAGCAAGTTCGCAGGGACGTTAAATATCCCCCCCACCCCACCGAAACCCAGAAGTTCACGAAGCATACATGACATGAGCAAGTTCACAGGGACGTTAACCTCCCCCCCACCCCAAACCCTTAAAAAAAACAAAAACATTGGTTTCGTGACCAGTTGCCTGGGGGCGGCGCTGGGAACTAACATAGCTATAGAAAATCACCATCTTTCATAGGTAAATCAACTATGAATGGGCTATGTTCAATAGCCATGTTAAATTACCAGATGGTAATTCCATGTAATTTCCCATCAATCCCATTGTTGTTCGTTATGTTGTTTAGGGTACCCCAGTAATCATCCCCCAACGGGCCCCCAGGCTGCTGGAAGCCTGCGAGTTGCTGGACGTGGGCTGGCACCCCGTCGCCAAGCGTCCGAAGCCGCCGCCTGTGGTGACAACGGCGCCCATGGCGAGGCGGCGCATGGAGGCGCGCGCTGTGCATTGTGGCCTTGGCTGCATGTATATATATATATATATGTATATATATATATGTATATATATATGTACATTGATTGAATTATATTGATATGTAACATATTTGAACACATTAATTATGGCATCATATATTGCACATAAACTGTTATCTAGTATAATATTATAGCATATACTATACTATGCTATACTTATCTTATATTATCTTATCTTATTTTCTCATATCATCTTAAATGAATTTATATTATAGTACCCTAGGTCATATTATCTTATGCTAAAAAATATGTTTTATTATCTTATTATATTGTCTCAGGTTTTATTTTCTGATATTATATTATATTATCTTATCTTATATATTTTCTTATCTTTTTTAGTGTTATCTTATCTTATTTTATCTTATCTTATTATCTTATCTTAGATTAGATTATATTATAATATTATTATATTATAATATTTTATTGTGATATTATATTATGATATTTTACTCTATTAATTATATTAAATTGCATTATATTATATTATATTATATTATATTATATTATTTTATATTATATTAAATTATATTATATTATAATATAGGTATGGTGGCATATTATATTATATTGTAGTTTTTTTGTTTAATATTATACTGTATTATATTATACAGTACATTTTATTATGTTATGTTACGCCCCAGTTCGAAACTCAATGCGTTCACTTGCTTTGTTGCGTCCAGCTGGCGTTTTGGAAGTCACTTGCGTTCCATTGCTTTTTTCAACAAAATCATTCAAAATAACTTAAAACAATGACTGCATAGATGCAGCGTCCACAATATGGCTCCTAATTTTAGAGCCATAAAAAACACCGAACATTAAACAAAATAGATGATTGCTGGTGCACAGCGTCCCATGCTGATTTGCATAATTTTGCACTGACTTCTGTGACTTCCTGAATGCGCAGCGTCCCATTGTGATTTGTTTTCAGACAGATGTTGCACTTGCTTTCCCGACTGGGTGTATGTCCTGTCATGCTATGTTATGTTATGTTTTTTAATGTTATGTATATATGCGTATGGTATGCATGCATTTTTTTCTCAGGCTGACAATATAGTGTTGTACCCAGGCCCTCACTCCAAGCATGGCTGTCCCATGCAACGTCCACCCTGCTTCATTGAGCCTCTCGGCTTCAAGCAGGTATCGTTGACATTCCGATTTTCTACGAAACCTTTGTTCAAGGCATTTGCCGACAGTCTTGAAGTGAGACCTTCGAAAGTTATAGATACTGAACTACTGTACTTCCCTCGAATGACCCAACTCAAAAAAGAAAATAGGCGGCAAAAGAGGAAACACATTGGACAGAAAAAACCGGCAACATAAGAAGGAAAACAAGGAATTCAATAGGGAAGAAAATCGCAAGGCAAATAGGGAAGGGAGGAATAACATTGGGAAGAAAATATACAGGGAAGAAAAAAAGGAAGAAACCCGGAGAAGGAATGAAGGAGAAACTAGGGGAAAAAGTAGGACAGAAAATCGAGAAAAAATAGAGAAGAAAACCGAGGAAGAAACTACAGAATAAAGTAGAAGAGACAATCGGGAATCAAATAGGTACAGTAAAACCGGGGAGAATATGGAAGAACATTGAAGAGAAAATTGAGAAGAAAATCAGGGAGAAACTATAGGGAAGAAAATAGAGCAGAAAATAGGGAATCAAATAGGGGTAAACTCGGGAAGAATATAGGGAAGAGAATCAGCGAGAAAATCTGGGAGAAAATCGGGAAGCAAATCAGGGAGAACATAGATTCTTGACACTGATCTCTGTGTCTCAACATTGAAGGTAACAAACAGGCAAATGACGATGGCAATGAGGCATGCCATTGATTCTAAGGCAGCATGCCTTGAACTGTGAGTTCCGCCCTGTGTCATGTCCATATCGCAAGAGCGGCTGTCGGCAGCAGCCGTTGGCCTACGTAGCATGGCTTGAATCTGGGGGGTGGACGATTTTCTCGATCACTTTCATCAAGTTCAGCTACTTTAAGTTGGATTACATTGCTGAGTTACATGAAAGGTGCAAGGCTCTTTTTCGGGACTTTTGTCTCTCTTTGAATTTAGCACGTCTTCAATTATACAAGAAGTACAGTTACAGACTGACCTAGGCTGAATCGCTGTTGACACAGATAAGGCTAGGAGGACAAACAATCAGCAACATTGCTTCATCGAGTGAGCTAAGGAAGAACAGGATCATATTGAGAATTGTGAGTTTCGGCCAGTGAAATGCCGCTACGATGGTTGCAAAGTCATGCCCATTGCGAACCTGCAAGCAGAGCATGCAGCTGAGTGAACCTCGTCAGCGATTCCGAGATATTCCGATTGCGTGGTCTTGTCGAAGATTTTCAGACACATCATTTTCAACTAAGCAGTGTTCAAAACCCCTGTTGGTTGATGATTATATATAGGGGATCATTCGGAATTCTTTTATCCAAGATACAGTATTAAGGATTATTACAATCAATCCATGAATGGGGAATCGGAATCCCTATTAACCATCGAGTATTTTAGGAAAGACTCGAGCCAGCAGCCCGCCGAGGCCACTATCGTCCCGTGCCATGCCTCCATCGAGAACGTGGCTGTCAGGATCACTTTCAGCATTTTTGTCATGAGTTGAACCTAATTCGCAACATGTTTGCAACATTCTATTTTGCAACGATTTCTCTCGTATGCTGCAGGAAATCATCGTGGCCTACCAGCGGATGTCACATGGGGACAAGTGTGAGTTTCGGCCAGTACCCTGCCGCTATGCGGACCGAGGGCAGCTTGGCGGTATCGGGTTGAACCGAGGCGTTGTTTGATGCGTGGTGATTCTGCTGCTACATGGTGTGGGCTTCCTCATGTTGCATGTGTAGCACCAAGAAATGGACTGCCTTCAATATTCTTAATGTATGTTTCTCCGGCACTCCAACCATCTCCAACCACTTTTGTTTGAAATGAATTCGTCCAGGTGCCAAGTGCAGCCGTCCAAGAACCAAGAGAAGACCCACGCTACTTGCTATCCGCATTCCTGACTGGGTCAGAAACCTGTGCGGCGAATTGGGAACCAAGAGGTTTCCCTCAGTGATCAGTCAGTATACGCATTATACGCATTGGTGCTTTCCATTGCTTTCCCATTTTTTGATATTTGCATCCAACTTGGAAGTGAGAGTACATGATGATGTCCCATTCAATCTCATAATATGGATGTTTCCATTTGTTTCCTAAAATGGGGCATCCCCAAAACCATAGGTTTCAATACGAAAAATATGTCTAATTTTGAATGATTTGGGACACCCAATGACTTAGGAAAGCTCGACTCGACCTCCCAGGCCACCACGTGCGACTTCCGTCCGGTGCAGTGTCAGCATGTATCCTGGCATGTGATTTTTTAACCATGACCCAGAGAGACTCGCGCAGGATTTGTTTCGGTCGGCACACCACCACCACCACCCACCCAACCAAACCACCCAACCCGCCGCCCGCCGCCGCCCGCCCACCCAACAACCAACAACCACAACCACAACCACAACCACAACAGCAACAGCAACAGCAACAGCAACAGCAACAGCAACAGCAACAGCAACAGCAACAGCAACACAACAGCACAACAACAACCACAACCACAACCACGACCACAACGACAACGACAACGACAACGACAACGACAACGACAACGACAACGACAACGACAACGACAACGAGAACGAACATGTACGTGTGTTTGATTGACGCTGAGCTGCTATGAGCAAAAAGAAGAATCCCTCGTGCTGTGATGGGAATCAGGTCATGTAAGCTGATTGAGGCGTAAGTGATGTACGGAGGCGTAAGTGATGCGGAGGCGCAAGTGTGATGTCTTAGTCTTAGCCATTTGGGTCGCACTTACGTTTTGGAGGCTTCCGGTTTTGATCAGCTGAAAAACGATCCTGCAAGAGTCTTTTCGGATCATGTCACCTGCTTCAAATACGTTCGCCTGTTCCTTCTACCCTAGTAACGCTTTGCTTTGCCCCAGGCAAAGCGAGGCTGCCAAGAGCTTCTGTTCATTCAGGCCGGGGCTGAGGTTGAAACATGGCGAAATTTACGATAGACCACCAGGTGACCATCTTTGGTTATGTGAGTTGTTGGCGCATGAGGAGGCGGAGAGCCATGCGGATATTTGTGACTTCCGACCCGTGCCGTGTTTGGGCCTGAGATGGGACCTCTGTAGCTGGGAGAGGATCATAGGTGCTACCAGGTTCCGCCACCCTTGAGGGCCACTGCCCCAGGTCCCTTCGAAGCCGATGGATGTGAAGCAACGGTGAACGCAGCAGATCGCGACGCCTGGCAGCTGAAGTTCTGCGACCAAAAGTGCATCCCAAGCGATAGTACTGAGTGATGTCACAACCAAGGATCATATTACAGAGCCGTGCTGTGCCCCCAAACAACAGTAGCCCACCATGATCAAGGATTCACTCGTCCTTGCTTGGGGTTGCAAGGCTGCGCCAGTGGTTCCTTGCGTTGTGCCAAGGACATGCATAGGAACTCCTGTGCCTTCCGTCCCGTACCGTGCCCCTTCCAAGCCTTAGGTGGGGCTCGTGGGGGTAGTGGTTCTGCCATGCTTTGTCCCTATTACACCCATTGACATTCTATTGGCCGATACTGGTGCATGATGGTGCATGCCTATTTGTTGCGAAGGCCTTGTGTAGTCCGAACGAACTTTTCCAGAACAGTTGATACAGGAGCACCTGAAGCACTGAAGCACCATAGCATCACCGCTAGGGTGAACATGGGGTCCAGGCATGTCCAGGCCATCAATCAGTATTGGTCAAGTGGTAGGCTGCAAGATGGAGCCATGCTACCGCGACAAGACCTCGCATGCCAAGAGCTGCAAATACCGACCAGTGTTTTGCAAGTACAAGCAGCGTGGATGCCCCTCGGCACTCTGAAACATCTCCCAGAAATGTAAGTCTGCTAAAATCTGCCCGCGGCAATGAAATGATCTTGTCACGGCACCCCACGAGTTACGCAGTCCTCATCATCACATACATTGGAGCTTTGGATCGAAGACAACCAACAACCAGCCCCAGTATCCCCAGTGCCCAGGCACCCAGCAATTGTCCTTCTTCAACTCAGCTCGCCATGCCTCCGGCTGCGGCTACTGGCCGGTGCCGTGCAGCTTCGAGGCGCGCGGCTGCGAGAAGCGGATCAACGCTCGAGAGTTGGAGCAGCACTGCGAGAGCAATCTGGCTATGATTGGATGATGGGTAGCAGGGGAATACCGGAATACCATGGAATACCACAATAATGGCATTTTTTCCAAGTTTGTTTAAGTATTATGACATATTTGAATTCGGCCAGAATATTGAGTCAATGACGAGAATGTGGTGGTTGTCATGGGGATATAATATGATGATATATGATACATGGGTTATATGGAGGATGGGATCGCCTTGGTGATGGTTTATGAAGGCAATGGAGTTTGGTCCTCTAACAGCGTTGGCCTCTTTGGGTCTTACAATTTTTTGCCTCCAAGGTTGCAACCATCGGCCAGTGGACTGCAAGCACAAGGGCTGCTCCTACCAGCCAAATGCTGAAGATGCTGCCGCCCATTCTGAGCAATGTGGACCCTTGCCTGAATTTCATTCACAAGTAATGACAGGATGTATAGCAACGGTGGGATCGGGGATTCTGTACGAGAATGAAACAAACTCAAGAACGCGCTTGCCATCGAAGTATGTGTGGGAGCCTGAAACTATGTGACCAGCCCTATCCAGCATCCAGCACTTGCAGTTCTTGAGGATGTTCCTTTTGCTTTCATGATCCTTTTTCCCACATCCCAAAAAATGTCGAAAAAGTAGGAAGCTACACTTGCAGATGCAAGTTATGGTGCTCGAAAGTCCGGTGACCGGTGTCCATTGGATTCCTACTCTGGCATGTGTATCACATGCAACACATGCGGGCTCCCACAGTCGGCAGAACGGCAGAACTTCGCTCCTGCGAGGCTTTCGCTTGATGCCTTGTCCCTATGCTGTCCATGGCTGTGAGGCGGGCACTTTGCAGGCATATTCTGAGTCTGCTTGCTTTGACATTGATCGAAGGAAGTTTAGAAGTCAAACTTCCGACAATATGGACAGATGAAAAGCAGAGCAGGGAAGAGGCAGAGAGAAGAGAAAGATTAGAAGAAAGAAGAGTAGAAGAGAAAGAGTAAGAAGAAAGAAGATGGAGATGCGCGAAAAGGTAGGAAAGTCGCGATTCACTGTGTTTTTCCAATGATTTGTGGCTCCGGAGGGTCGAAAAGTAGGCTCGCTAAAGCGGCGGGTGCGGAGCTAGCTGGCCAGATGAGACATGAAAAAGTGCACGCCGTTGTGGCGCGAAGCACATTTCCAAGTCAAAATGTACAAAACACCACATGTTCGCGCCACTTTTGGAGGTTCGGATGTTGGAAAAGTGCACGCCGTTGTGGCGCGAAGCACATTTCCAAGTCAAAATGTACAAAACACACCATTGTCGGACCACTTTTGGAAGTTGAGATGTCGAAAAAGTGCACGCCGTTGTGGCGCGAAGCACATTTCCAAGTCAAAATGTACAAAGCACACCATTGTCGGACCACTTTTGGAAGTTCAGATGTCGAAAAAGTGCACGCCGTTGTGGCGCGAAGCACATTTCCAAGTCAAAATGTACAAAGCACACCATTGTCGGACCACTTTTGGAAGTTGCGATGTCGAAAAAGTGCACGCCGTTGTGGTGCGAAGCACATTTCCAAGTGAAAATGTAAAATGTACAAAACACTACATGTTCGCGCCACTTTTGGAGGTTCGGATGTTGAAAAAGTGCACGTCATTGTGGAGCGAAGCACATTTCGACGTGAAAATGTACAAAGCACTAGGGGTTCGGACCACTTTTTGGAGGTTCAGATGTCGCTTCGCCGCTTCGCTTCACTACACTACACTACGTTACATTACACCACACTCCACTATACTACACTACATTACACTACACTACACTCCACAACATTACAACTACAACTACACAACTAGACTACACTCCACTACACTCCACTACATTAAATTTCACTACACTACATTACCCTACACTACGCTCCACTACACTACACTACATTAAATTACACTACACTCCACTACACTACATTACACTACACTACGCTCCACAACACTACAACTACAACTACACAACTACACACTACACTCCACTACACTAAATTACACTACACTACACTACATTACCCTTACACTCCACTACACTACACTCCACTACACTACACTACATTACACTACACTACCTCCACTACACTTCACTACACTACACTACACTCCACTACACTACACTACATTCCACTACACTCCACTACACTACACTACATTACACTACACTACAATACACTGAATGACACTGCACCACAGATAGACAGGTAGACAGATAGACAGACAGACAGACAGACAGATAGATAGATAGATAGATTGGGTAATTAGATGAAAGAGAGAGAGAGAGAGATATCGATAGATAGATAGATACATAGAAAATAGATAGGTAGGTAGGTAGATAGTCAGAGAAAGAGATAGAAAGAGTGAGAGAGATCAAGCACCTTTCAGTCCATCAGTGGCTTCGCTCTGCCATCCCTGATTCACAACAACCAACCTCTGCTATAGGTTTCCTATTTTTGAAACTTCCGCCACCGCCTTGTGCGGTACTACTGGTATCCTTTGATCATATTTTGATCATTTACTTTCATCCCGACATCCAGCGCACAAATTGCATGGCGCCAGTGGCAAGTGTGCATTCACCGGCGCAGGAGTGGATTCAAGCACAAAAAGTGGACAGCCACCAGGAGGTGTGAGAAATCACAATGCAAGGGTCAAACCGTTACGCATCGTCACATATGGTTACGCCATAGTCGTTGCTGAGGCGAGGCTTAGGTCAGCTTAGGTCATCCTCTTGGGTCATAGGAATGTCGCCGGGTTCGACTGGATTGGCAGCTACTCACAGTCTTCTCGTTCCCAGCCCATCTCAGCCTATCAACCCCCAGAGCTTCAGGTCTGTGACTTTAAGCCCGTTGCGTGTCCATATGAAAGCCGCGGATGTCCAGAACGTATTTTCTCTCTGAATGTAAGGAGGGGTGGGCACTGGGCACTTTACAGGTGGACCATGTTTGCTCTTAACTGGCTTGATTGGATATTCTTGGGCACATTTTACATCATTTTACGATATTGCCACTTTCACAGCAGAATGTCATCAGTCTTGTCCCCGGTGAAGCTGACACTTTCTTCGCAAAAAACTGCCCGTTCCAGAATCATCGGAATCCCCGACAGTCCCATATTGGCTGCACCCTTTGAACAGGATCCCACCTTTGCAGGAGCCATGCGGAGAAGTGTGCCTCTCGCCCTGTGCCATGTCTACATGCCAAGCGTGGCTGCCAGGAGGAGTTCCGGTTGTCTCGTGCTGTTACTAGCCATGGAAACAGACCGGAAGCTGCTGAAAAACATGGAAAACACCAATTTCCACCAAACCCAGAAATCCCAAATCAAGATATATCAAGCCACTGGAGTTGAAAAACGATTGGAGCATATTGGAACCAAATCATGTCTTTTCAGTGACCGTGGAACCGAATCCAGGTGGACAGTAACAGGACATGGGGGCAATGTAAGAAAAATTGTATATATTGTATGAAGTTCGATGGTGGTCAGCCACAAGGGAAATTCAATCAGGAGATCAATGCCCAACATCGCTTGCGCCATTCCGCCCGCTGCGTGTACCGCCCTGTGCCCTGTGTGCACCAGGCAGGGGTGGGATGGGCAAAATTCCTTCAGCCAAAAGCTTTGTGTAAGGACTCGGCATGGCTAGACTAGGATAGGATAGTCGGATAGCCGCCAAGAGTAAGGTTCAACACTACACCACTCCACGGTACTCTAGGTTTATTTTTCCATTTAGGGTTTTGCTTGTCCCTCCTTCCCTTCCCAGAAGGGCGATGATATGCCGCTGATGGTCTTGAACTTTTCAGTGTGTGTGGAAAACTGAATCCAGAATTTCAGGAAATTCTCTTCTACGTAACATCCTCCCTGATCCATTTCTACGCGTCTGACTGCAGAGGTGCTTGGCTGTACGGAATTGGTGAGCCACAAACACCTCTCCCAGCACGCAATGAATTGCCGCTTCGGCAGGTGCTGACCCGGATGAATCGTGGATGGTTATATAGAGGGAGTATGTTGTTTGACTGCATATGGTGACATATTTCTTTTTATCATAATGTATATATATATATAATTATATATATATGATATGTGGATATAGGTAATGAAGTAATAGCAGTAAGACAACAATATATTGTCGTCGATCATGGTCATACATTTGCCATTTCCCCCTGGGAAACCTGATGGACTTTGGGCATATTTTCTAAAGTCCTATGTCCAGTCCTCAATTTATCGTGTTGATTCCCAGCAGTCCCTGGCTCTTTTCTGACGATCCTCAGGGCATGCGAAAAAACCTGTCTTCCTCGGTTTTGTTTCCAGATTTTGCTCCCGCTAGAACTGCAGAATAGAGGCACTCATCTACGCAACCGAAAATATTATAGGCTATGCTATTTACATCTATTTACTGACTGAGATGCGCATCCATTGGCCAATGGAGCTTTTTGAATGCATCTTGAGGATGCGGAATCCCAACAGGTTGCTCAGCCAATACAAGAAACATTGTTAGTGATCCTTTTCCTCATCCCAAGCAGCTTGCAATTTCTGTAGAGTTTTCGATGGAGTTGCTGAAGGTAACTGTGCCCTGTGGTCCAGTTAAGATTTCCCCTGTACCATCCTAGGCAGATGGCGTCCAGTAGAGTGCCCCTTTGGCTGTGGAGAAAAGCCATCGCACCCTGGCCGAAAACTGTGAGGGAAAATGCGATGGCGACGCCAAAGACATCCAAAGACCATGGCTATCAAAACAGTGACCATTGGATACGGATAGGCCATCCTTGGAGGCAATGCAGCGTGCCCAGGTTGGCAGACAGCAAGAAGCATGCGGCCGAGTGCAAGTTTCGCCCTGCCTTCTGCCGCTACAAAGCTCAGGGCTGCCGCTTGGACTTGGACCACATCAGCCATCAGCCATCAGCCCTTGCGGTAGCGCCCTAGCAGTTGATAGCGCACCGCCATGCATCGCCCAAGGTACACAGCAAATGTCATTGCATTCGCTCTCCAGCCATATGGTGAACTGTGAATTTCGGGTGGCTCCCTGGCTCAACCGGTTTGCATGAGAGTACCATGATATTCTGAACATGCACGACCGTGACCATGCGCTGCCTGAAAATACATGAAAACATCAAGAACTTGCAAATTGTTGTGCCGCAATGACTTGTTATCAGTTTTTGTGCCCTCCGAAGTCGTCAACTTTTCACGACATTTTCTGATGGCATCATGATGACACATGATGATCTTTTTAGGCGCCCTGCCGCTTTCAGAGCCGCGGTTGCAGAGCTCAGATTTGCTGGAAGGCACAACCAGAGCCTTGATGATGTTAGATGGTCCTCCTGTGCTTGAACCAGCAGAACACAATTTTGCTTCATGCTTTTAAAGGAGATATTCCGTGTCCTTAAGTTGCACACCGTTGCGGGCTTGCAACATGCAGGATCGCCAACAACACTTGGCGACCTGTCGCTTTCGAGATGAGGCACGACCTGGTGGATTCCTATGGTGAGATCAGTGCAGCTTCTGAAATCCAGTGATTACAGGCATCAAAGATCATCAAGGGTAGAGGCTTATGCAAAATGCACTGGTCACTTTGTGGGCCATGCATAGCAATGTCGACTGATTAGCTGGTTCCTGGCAATTAGGTGGAAGCTGAACCAAGAAGCAGCAAGGAGAGGGCTAGCTGCTAGCTGGGGCAACGGCTGGAGAGGGGAATTTGAATCCTCGGTCAGAAGCTGTTGGAGTCGCAACGGCTCCGGCCTTCCTTCCCTAGTTTTGCCTGGAAATGTTCGTTGCTGACATTGCTGGGTGAACCTGTCTTCCATGCGAAGTCTTGACATGTTTTGACAAGTGACCAAAGCACCAAACACTTGTACAGCATCAGGATGCACCAGGTACCTTACAATTGATGCTCGCTATTCTACATTTCTGAATTTCTGCGTTTCAATGTCTCTTGGGATGTGAAGCTAGACATTCTTCAGGTTGGCAGCTTGAAATCCTGGTTGGCCCCCCCCGGACTGGATCTTGAGGAGTCGGCCCCCAAAAAGTCTACCGAAAGGCGGAGAGATTGGTCCGCAGCCTAGAGGGTTCAGGTTTGCTATGAATTGAAAGAACCATGAAAGGAATAGGACACAATACTCTTCAAAGGGAATAAGAAGGATATAGGGAGGCACGTCTCTTCACTACTCTTGCATACTGTTGCCATGGGCAATTTTTTTTGGGGCAAGTGTTGGAGATTGTCTCCCGCGCGCTATATTTGTCCAACACCACAGACACAAAGATTCAATCATATTCAATCCAAAGCTTTGCTTTGGTAACTGGTGTATGTCTTTCGTAAGTAGAAGACATGTAAGAAATAAGAAGTATCCAAAGTACTCCCTCTCACGCCCATACTGTGAGATGGCACAGCCACATGCAGGATCAGTGTAGTCCACTTGGGTAACTCATATATGCCGCTGCACGGCTTCGCAAGGGGCCCAAGACGTCAAGGGCCAGAGCAGGCCAAAGCCTGGGGACTCTGGAGGGAGCGCACCGCAGGTGATTTAGACAATTTCGTTAAAGACGTGCATTCTGACGTATGTTTAACATGTTCTCACCTTAGAGGATCAATCTATAGAACATTTAAGAACACACCTTAGAGGATCAATCTATAGAACATTTAAGAACAGCTTTACCAGCCAAAAAGAAAGACGGCACATGTCAGAGCCGAATGTCAGCTCAGTTGCATTCGCACTGCAGCTATTCCATTTTAAATGGGTCGGATTTTGGTCCCAGATATCCCCGATCGTAGACTATCGCAGAAACATGGAAAAACAATGAAAAACCTTTGCTGTGACTGACCTGCCGCAGATGGGCGCAGCGGTTGCTGTCCAGTGAACACATGGCGCATGGTGCCTGGGGCTTTGGGGGTCGTTGGAGGTTGCGGCCTTTTCTCGCACAGATTGCTTGATTTTGATTGATTGGATGATTCAACCTGTACACCGGCTTCATCTCCAGAGTGATGCTGGGAAACAAGAGCTTGAGGGGCATGCCCACAGCTTCCTCAACAGGCAGCGCGCCTCTTCCTAAGGTTCACAATGCGGGGCCGAGCAGAAGCATGACAAACAGGAACTTGTCGCTGTGGATTTTTTGTGATGTTCTACCTTTCTATTTTTGAGCTGACGCTCACCGTCGGCTCCGCCGGATCACTCGACCCTCCATTTCATCGCAGTGTGGGCTTGAAAGCTATTGAATGAGGACCTGCTTCAGAAATATATTCCTTATGTTTTTTGGAACGTATTCATTTGAATAGGAACTTTGTTGGAAATAGACTTTTGTTTTGGGAGCAAGTGAGTTCCCGAAAGCTCCTGCGAAGGGTTTTTCCTAAAGAACTGCTGCCAATTTCAACTTGTTACTTCGTGTAAAGGCGCCTCCGTGCAAAGACTTCTCTGTGTAAAAGCTTTTGTGTAAAAAAATCTGTGTGTAAAAACCAGTCTGTGTAAAGACTTCTTTGTGTAAAAGCTTCTGTGTGTGAAAGCTTCTCTGTGTGAAAGCGCGTCTGTGTACAGATTTCACTGTGTGTAAAAGCTTCCGTGTGTAAAAACTCTCTGTGTAAAGGCTTCTCTGTGTAAAAGTTTCTGTGTGTAAACGCGTCTGTTTGTTAAAGTTAAAGCTCTCTGTGTAAAGACTTCTTTGTGTAACAGCTTCTGTGTGTAAAAGCTCCTCGACGTTTGTGAGCAAAAGCTCCTTAGAGTAAAGATTTCTCTGTGTAAAACCTCTGTGTGTAAAAAGCTCCGTGTAAAGACTTCTCTGTGTAAAAGCCCCTGTGTGTGTAAAAGCTCGCTGTGTGTAAACGCTTTTGTGTGTAAAAGCTCCTCTGCGTAAAGGCTTCTCTGTGTAAAAGCTTCTGTGTGTAAACGCATCTGTGTGTAAAAACCCCTCTGTGTAAAGACTTCTTCGTGTAAAAACTTCTGTGTGTAAAAGCTCCTAGACGTTTGTGTGCAAAAGCTCCTTAGAGTAAAGACTTCTCTGTGTAAAAGCCCCTGTGTGTGTAAAAAGCTTCTGTGCGTCTCCTCCCTCCAGCTTTCTTTCGGGTCACACTGTCGTCCAGTTTCAATCTGCAAGGTTGTTTCTTGTGGAAGAATGCAAAGAACATGTGAAAGCATCGCGCGTTTAAAAATTGAACGTAAACAGCGCACAAAGTGATGTAATTTACAGCATTTTGCGCGGTCAGATGGCAAGAACCTGCGTAAATACCACAGTTTTAGTCCCCCAAAAGTGGCTAAAACACTGTTATTTACCGGGTTTCGTTCACGTCACGATCTTCGATTTTTGGAAGAACACGTAAATACCAGCGTTTTTTGCGTTCATCAAGACAAACAATCGGTCCAAAAAGTGCAAAAAAATGCTGTAATTTACAAGGGTTTGGCGCCGTCACGGGCAAACAACTGCGTAAATACCAGCGTTTCGGTACAGTGTTTCGTGCCTTCCACGTTTTCTTGAAATTGCAAAAATCGTGTAAAGACCGGCATTTTTTACGATCAACCCGCCAAGACTGCCGTAATTTACATTGTTTTTTTTTGCTTTGCTTTCAAAAACGCTGGTATTTGCAGGGTTTTGTGCATCTCTGGTCTAAAAAGTGTTGGTATTTACATCATTTTCTGCGTTTTCGCATTGTTCCCGCAATAAAAGACGTTAAAACGCAAAAATGCTGTAATTTACAGATTTTGTGAATTTAGAAAAGCTAAACATCGGCCGACAAATGTGTCAAAACGGCAGTTTTTTCCAATTTTAGGTACCCTCAAAACGGGGGGGGGAATGCTCTTCGAGACGCTTATGAGCGACCCGGATTCCGCCCAGCTCCGGTCACAGGACCGTCCCGCAGGGCCAAAACACCATGGCAGTGAAGGACGGATCGGGCCCGCGGCCGGTAGCCCATACTGTAAACGTTGCTTCTGAACTGCCTAGAAGCTAGCTTCAACACATTCAATTTGCTTGCCTTCCTGCACTGCTAGCTGCCAACTTGCTGTCTTGTTCTTGCAGCTGGCCTTCTTCTTGCGCAGGTCTGGTCAAGGCACCGTCTCCTTCTTGTCCCCCATTCTCTGATGCGTTCCCCCTGCTGTCGGCAGGGTCGGCGGATTTGTTCGATCGCATGCCAATAAGTTGAGTCAATTGAAAGGAGTATATAACGGGCAGCATTTGCAATGTATTATCGAAAATCTCCAACCCCCCAAAGTCACACGACCACCAGACGGTGGCAAGCCTCACCAACTGTGGGCCGTCGAAGATCGGCGCTCACGCTTGTTGGTACGTGCCGGACCTTTTCCGTGCATTGGGCTGGATTTTTGGATTCCTGCATGGCCCAACTATGGTCTGAATAGACTCAGCTTCCATGAAGTTTGGGCCGATCCAGGAATGCAGCCCAGCTGTCATCCCGCTGGCTTCAAGTCATTTGGTGTTTCTGCTGCCTTTCATTCACCTGCCTTCTTTGAACGAAATTTCATAGTTTTTCCTGCATACACCATCCATTTCTGCTGACAGTTCAGCGATTCTCCGAGCAGAAACATCAGATAGACAGCCAAACTGCAGAAAGGGCTACTGCTTTGGAAGAAGGACTCAAGCTGTTATGTGTACATACAGATGCATATACATACATATAATTTATAGACATACATATACACACACACATATATATATAATATATGCATATAGTAACTTACGCAAGCAGTTTTAATACATACATTTACTGTACAATGTATACCCGCACGCGCACACACACATATACAATCATATATATATATATATGTATACATATATATATATATATGTATACACACATATATATATATATTTATACATGATATCTAGTATCTAAGACCTAACATTCATTTGCATTTTTACATCTATATCTACAATTATGTCTGTATCTTTATATCTTTAAACTTATATACTGTATCTATATATACCTATATACATATATACATATGTATCTATGTATCTCTAAATATATCTCTATATCTCTAAATCTATATGCCTCTATATCTCTATTTCTCTATGTACCTATATATCTAAATCCAATATCAAATATCTAATATCTAATATCTAATATATATCATACATAATATCTAATATATCTTATATCTATATCTATATCTATAGCTATATCTGTCTATTTATTTGTCTGTCTGTCTATCTATCTGCAACTTTTGTATTTGGCATTTGGGGCTCTGGGTTTCAGACCTTCGCATGAAAAAACGCAGGTTTTCGGTACTCCGAGTTCCTTCGTTCGGTAAAATCTGGGCTACACAGTCGCCCTCGGCCCCATAGTATGACGATCTGTAGCCTGTTGAGAATTCTGGGTTTCTGAGAGGTTCAGGTAGTAGATGGTAGTGTTACAGGCAGTTTTGGTTTTCTTCACAGCAAGCTTAGGCTTTTGATGGCTTTTGCCTCAGTGTTTGGCATCTCCTTCTTTTGAAGCAGAACCGCTTTTCTGCCTCCGTGCTGGGAAAACGGAGAGTCCACAGAGATGGTTGCCTGCACTGAACTCCTTGCATGGTTTGTTTGGAGGGCAGATTCAGAACACAGGATCCTGCACTCACACACACAAAGACATTGGAGACACGGGTTTGCGTGTATGTGTCTTTAAGATTGTTTAAGGAGTGTCCAGAAGGTGCAAGAGAACCTGTGGCAAAGGGAGTGAAAAAACAGTATCTAGATGACAAATGACAAACTAAAATCACCCGAGGGACAGCATGCTCCAATTCCAAGGTCAAGGGTCCACATTGCCCAGAGCCGTGGGCCTCATGCAGTGGTGAATAAGGCAAGTTTCTGGGTCCGGGCGAAAACTGTGCAGGGCAAACCTGCTACAGTAACCTGTTGGGTAGGCGTTCAATGATTCTAGACAGACTAGTGTGACATATGTATGTAGCATATGTGCCGACGGCAGCGTGTTGTTGCCTGGGAACGGGCTCTGTCAAGTGTTTTGAGCTTTGCTTTTTTTTCTCTGGCTGCAGCCGTTTCAACTCCCTTGAGTTTGGTAGAGTCGGATCGCTTTAGCAACTGTCAGAGGCTCGACCCAGGGTGTGAAGATGAAAAATGGTTCGCCTTCACGGGAACGGACCCTGCTTCTTCGACCATTCGCTCATGAATTCAGTCAGAGATTCTTGATGATTCTAAAGGTGAAAGTGCTTCATTTCCTTTGCGCGTGCTTAAAAGCTGCAAACCACAAGAACCACTGGCCAAGCTGGCACTTTTCAAGCTGGCAAGGTGGTCGTACCCTAGAAATTCGAGAATTCTTAGCTGCCCGTTGCAGAAAACTATGGGAGGGAAGGTCCCGAGTCGAGTAGGCCGAAAGAGAGCTGTTCTTGATAGCTTTCATTACCCTGTCCTGTCCTTTCCTTTCCTTTCCTTTCCTTTCTGTACCTTCAAGCATATGTTCCATCATGTTCCATCATATTCCACCGTCCTTTTATTTACTTTCTATTTTCCAAAGCCGGGCGTCATGTTACAGCGAACAGACCAACAGTGACCGACAGTGACAAACAGTGACCAACAGTGACCAACAGTGACCAACAGTTTGTTCCAGGTCATGGGCTGTGGAGCATCCAGTGCAAAGCCAGCAGAGGCCAAGGAGGCTGCTAAGGAAGAAGTACAGGAGGCCCTTCGATGTGGAGCTGGCCTTGAACTGTTGGATGAGAATGTTGCACCAGGTGGCAGTGCCACTGATAGGTTGATAGGCTTTTTCATAGCTTAGTTCTATGGCTTTGGGCTGGCCATTCTTTTGGGAAACTTGCTTTTTCAGTGGCGCCATCTACTGACATTTCTGAACGAATCTTTTGATTCTAGATGCTCAATGGGCTGAATTCCAAAATGTGCAGTGCAGAAATGGACAAGACAGGGGCAAGTACGGTACAAGCGGACCCTGTGATGGCATGCGAGGTGAAGGCACCTTTGGTGAGCATTGATGAGAGCAAGTTTACCAGCATTTTCAAGAAAGGAGGTGCCCTCCTTCAACGTGGTCCACCTTGCAGTTTTTGGGGTCGTTGTGATAGTGACCAGTTGGGATCTATTATATAAAATAAGTAAGGCTACCGCCCTGGTGCCGCCGACCCCCCTTTATGGGGGGCATGGCAGTGGAAAGAAAGCAATTTCGCATCTAGAATGGTCTTGTTGCGGGGCGCCTGCATGCCATGCCTGCCCATCATGCGGCACGGTCGTTCAATCAACGCTTGCATCAGGGCAAATCCGCGTAAAGATGCGTAAAGCACAAATCGTGGAAAGCGTGAAGAATTTCTGAACGATTTCCGAAAGATGCAAAAGCAAGTCGCCAGCTCAGAAAAAGCACCTGTGCTCGAACAGTGCGGCAGTGAAGGGCGGAAGGCGGCACGCCCCTGCCCGGTCTGAAGGCCTAACATCGCTTTCTGAAAATGGATCCAAAACGATTTCAGAAGCAGCCGCGCCATTTGCTCGCTTTGAAACGCCGGTTCCAAGGCCAGCCAAAAGTTCAAAAACTGCCGCCAGCCCCGGGAAAGCACTTTTCGCCACGCTTTAACAGCATGGCAGTGAAGGACGGAAGGCTTCTCGAAGGGCAGCTTGATCGTGGCCGATTTGCTCGCGTCGAAACGTCTATAGAACAAGGTTCGAAGGCCAGCCAAAAAGCTCAAAAAAACGGAGAAAGCACCTTCGCCACGCTTTAACAGCATGGCAATGAAGGACGGAAGGGCTTCGCGATTCAGGTCGCCTTTTAACGGTCGAAGGAGAATGCCAAGAGCAGCCGCCAGCTCGGGAAAAAGCACCCTTCGCCACGCTTTAACAGCATGGCAGTGAAGCCGCTAGGTCGTGACCCATTTGCTCGCTTTGAAACGCTTCTAGAACGAGGTTCAAAGGCCAGCCAAAAGGCTCAAAAACGCACGTTTTGCCACACCGAAACGGTATGGCACTGCGGGACAGATCGTGCCTTCGAAGGGCAGCTAGTCGTGGTGCCGTCAGCTCCTGAACTGCTTCGCGCCGCTGCCCGGTCGGACGGCATCAGGTGGGCTTCTGAACGGCCAAAGAAGAACGCCAAGAGCAGCCGCCAGCTCGGGAAAAAGCACCCTTCGCCGCACTTTAACAGCATGGCAGTGAAGGACGGAAGGCTTCTCGAAGGGCAGCTTGATCGTGGCCGATTTGCTCGCTTCGAAACGTCTATAGAACAAGGTTCGAAGGCCAGCCAAAAAGCTCAAAAAACGGAGAAAGCACCTTCGCCACGCTTTAACAGCATGGCAATGAAGGACGGAAGGGCTTCGCGATTCAGGTCGCCTTTTAACGGTCGAAGGAGAATACCCTTCGCCACGCTTTAACAGCATGGCCGTGAAGGACTGAAGGCGGCCGCTAGGTCGTGGCCCATTTACTCGCTTTGAAACGCCTATAGGGCAAGGTTCAAAGGCCAGCCAAAGGGCTCAAACACGTACGTTTTGCCACGCCGAAACAGCATGGCACTGCGGGACAGATCGTGCCTTCGAAGGGCAGCTGGTCGTGGCGCCGTCAGCTCCTGAACTGCCTGCCAGCGAAGGAGAACAGGCCGCTGCTGATGCTTCGCTGTCTCGGGCGCCCCCCCTCCAAGTGCAACGGCAGGGGTCGGCGGATGGATATATTATAATGAAGTATAATGAACATATGCACGGTTTATGTATGTATGTAATGTCATGTCATGTCATGTAATGTATTGTAATGTAATGTATTGTAATGTAAGTAATGTATGTATGTATGTATATATATATAGTATATGTATACATATATATATATTATATGTATATATATATATTATATTTATATGTATATATATACATTGTTTGTTTATACTTGTACATATTTGTATATATATATACACATACACACATATGTATATATACTATAGATCAGTTTGTATGTCTTATTCTGCTTCATGGGATCCCCGCATGCTTTGCAGCCAAGATTTGACAGTCCTCATCCTCGCCCAGGTGCGCAGAGTGGCGCGTGGATCAGCGACAAGCTCTACGCCGGGCTGCCCACCTTATGGGGGTTTTCCTAAGTCATGGGGGTACAGTGGGGGTACCCCGCCACCCCGATAGCTGGATGGTTTATTAAGTAAAATCCGAAAATAACATGGATGATTTGGGGGTGTTTCCCTATGGATTGGAAACTTCCATATGTGACTTTAGCCTGGGTGATGAAGACTTTGTGAACTGGGCCATATGGCACCCCCGGGGTTTTAGTTGAACAAGCGTGCAGGGAAGGCCGACACGTTCATATACTGTATTGACACCCTTGGAAACTGAAAGATGACGGGTAGGTCTCCAACGGACTGGGTGAACCCCCTGGGATGGTAATCCTCATCTCAGAAGCTAAGAACACAAGCGATCGTTTTTGGGAGACCCTAAGGACCCCCACATGGCTGGTATTTTTCATATGTTCAGAAGGAAAACCAATGTATATATTCATATTTGGCATGGCAGTAATTTGTTGAATGAAAAAGGTTTGTGGCTAGTCCAACCTCAAAGTGGTTGCATCTTCAGTTTTTTGCTCATTGTCGTCCTTGCCCAAACCTGGGGGCGGGGTATGCCAGTTTGAAATCCATCAAAGGCTTGCGGTGAATCTTAAGGGTTCAAACACTTTATGAACCTGCCCATAGCACTATGTTGCATCGGTTTGCAGGCCTGCCCTTGGCCTATGCCTTGACACTCAGGTCTATGTTCTGGGTGACAACGATGTAGAAGAACATCCCGTGGAGGTTCTGGACATCAACACAATGTCGCTTGGCGACATCTTGGTCCCCAGTTAGTTGAGGATTGTTCTACAAAGATAAAACATGATAAAACGAATCAGAGGATAAAGGAATCAATACTAATCAAGTGCATTTGGCCAGCTATGAATCACTATGATCATCAAGATGTTCAGGTGCATTGTCCACCGCTCCGCCAATATTCCATTGCCCAGGACAGCCACACAGGTGGCCACCTTCACAGGAAAGGACTGGCCCAGTACCGCCGCCACTGCGGATGGATCGATGTATCTCGGATCTGTTCCCCAAAGAGGCCGAATGATCAATGCCTGTCACTTTTCTACGGCGATGATGTTTGATGAATTTTGATGTTTGATGTCAAATCCAGCTCCGGAATTTGCTGCGACTATGCCGTGTCCGAATTTGTCATCAAGAGAGAAATAGATGAGAGAGAGAGGGAGATAGAAGCTCCTTGTCAGCATCAGAGTACAATGAGAGATTGGTCTCAGACATGCACACACACAAAGGGTAAGCCACTAGAACATGTGACCCAAGGGATAAAGGCAAAAGAGATAAAGGCTGGAGCGGCCAGCAAAGGTATGCCTTGGCAGCAGGGCCTGTGCTAAAGATCTTCAAGAGTTCCGACCATTCAGATGCTCGTCGACCTCAGCGGAGAAGCCGGACTTTTCAACGGCCATGGTGAATTGTTGGTACAGATCCCGCACAAATTTTGCACATACCGGTTTGGCTACACTTGCTGAACCAAGGGAATGTTGAACAGGGATCCTGTCCAACGTTTCCTTCAATGTTTTGACCGGATGTGATACCAAGGCACATCACATGGCACAAAGTTTGGTTTCAGCCTCTCCTATCCAGTTCTTTGTGCTTCTCTGCTGTTGAGGAAGTATGCTCCATCACCACACCATCACCTCACTATGTGCCTGGGACAATCGCCATGGAACGCGGGTGCGTGGATCATGACGAAATGGAGGTTTTCCAAAATGGGGGTACCCGAAAACCATGGATTTCAATACTAACATATCTAAAGTGGTTTAGTTCTAGATGATTTGGCGGTACCCAGATTCTAGGAACCCCCAAATAACCATATTTCCCACACCATGGGCGTAGTTTACACGGGAATTTCCGTGCACCTTGACATTGAGGATTTTTCTTTCATGGGAACATCTCCATCTGATCTTCGCGTGAATGATGCAACTCATTTCCCCGGTCACTGCTTCAGCAGTCTTTGCAACCCTGAAAGATCCAAACAATTGCCCAATTGCCACTGCAACTGCGCTGTCAGTGTGAAATGACAGCAAAACGGGGGTCAACATGGCAACCTCGTCTCTAAGCGTTGTATACCAGAACAAATATGAACAAATGGTGGCAATATGCGGCAACAAATATGAAAAAGACAGGATCACGTGTGACTGACCTGGGGAGACAAAGTATGAAGGTACATCCCAAGTGCGCTTTGCATTGACTCTAGCTACAACTTTGACATGGACACTCCTCAAGTGTATAACCATTGGCATAGGAACACATAGGATCCTAACCCCCACCTCAGCTCCCTTCCCACCCCAAAAAGTAAGTCGATGACGATGCTACCGCGGCGCCACTTCTTGGAGACGGTGACCGCGTTCCACCTATCAAAACATAATCACATGAACATGACATGTAAACATGTACGACACAAGAACAGAAAACCTCCCCAAAAGACCCAAAAGCCTGTTTGGCACACTACCGTCTATGTCTCTGTGCATCTTTGTGCCAACTACTGGGTTCTAGGTATGCCCGAGACATCCCGAGACATCCGGAGACGTCCCTTCTCCACTTGGCAGTGGTGTAGTGGTGTCGTCCTGTCCCATGCTTTCCAATAAGTTCAGAGAGGGAGCAGAAATTTATAGCCCGGAATCATGACGGTTTTCAGATCTCACATCTGGATACATCTGGATGATCGTTTTGTCACGTGTCCAGTCTTGTGACTCAGGGCGACAGAAGTCAGAGTCCGCAAATGACATTAGCTTAGTCATCTGCTTAGTCAATCTAAATTTATTTTTGTTCAAGATTTTGAGGTGACAGCATGTTAGTCAGCAGGCCCCTCCTTCTGTTTGTCCCCACTCCTTGCAAAGAAGGTCTCCCAGCTGGCCTTCAGTCCAGATGGAAAGAAGATCGCGTGTGAAGGGGACAGGTTGGGTTTGTCGAGTGATTGTGTGACATTTTTTTGAATCTGACTCCGGTCATATGTGGCCATGGGTCTGAAATCCGGACATGTTCATCCCCCGAAAATATGTCACAGCTTTTGATCCAATCCCAGATAGCTCAGGGCTCAGGGTCTTGGAAGCTTGACGAACCATCCACATTTTGGTGCCCAACTTGACAGATACTCATACTGACTTGATGATGTGAATCCAACAGTCACCGTGTTTACACACATATGTGTGCACATACATACACATACATTTGCACGCAAATACATAGTTAATAGTAGTATACATAGATACAGAGTATATTTATTTGTCATACTGGTTGGATCTGGTCAATGTTCGCCATTGTGTTTGCTGCTTGATCCAAGCTGATTTCACCTGGAAGGTGCAAGAGCTGGGTCTATTCAGTACCTGAGGGCGCCGAACTCTTGGCCCTTGAAGGAGACATCTGGAGAAGATGAAAGATCAAGATCCAGCACACCATTGGGATGATTTATTGAGATATCTTGAAACTGAAGATGAATAGGATGAATTGGGATAATTTAAGGGTAAAAATTGTGTGTTCCTCGACATTTTCCATTCAACGAATCCGATGCAATATAGTGAGAACAAACGGTTGCTTTTACCATTGCAGCTCATGCCAACTTTTGTTGGTACCCCTCCCTCCCCGCATATGGTTCTGGAATTTCTTGAACTTTGACGCATTGCTTTCAGCAAGCATGTGTTTGTAACATCGCTCCCTATTCTTTTTATACCTTTGACAAAGGCATCCAGTGTGGCGTTGATTTTGAAAAATGTGCAGCCATCGGAAGAAGGAAAGACATGGAAAGACCACAAAGGCACCTGAGAAAGATGAATCGAAGAAGCCCCAGACGCCAGGTTTCAGTCCCGGGGATATCGTAAATCCATGACTCATTCAATGAGCAGGAAGCCAAAATTCAGACTGTCTTGACACGAAAAGTGAAAGTGATGGTGACCGGAGATGCCAAAGGAGATTTGAAGGAATTTCCATTCGAAAAATGCGATTGAAGGCATCAGCAGGAGAAGAAAAGGACAAGACATATGGCAAACGCAAGGCCGATGATAATAAGGAAGATGAAGGTACAGCCAAAAAGAGCTAAGCATCTTTTCGGAGATGGCGCAGACTTGCCCTAGAAAGACAGAGCACGGACAAAAAGAATGCTCTCAACGCATGTGTATGTGCTCGATGCCGGTTTGAAACAATTTGATGCTTAATATTTTACTAAGTACTATTTGCTATAGAGAAATTGGAATAGGTTAATATTCTCTCTTCATATAAAAGAACTTTGTACCCCCTTGATCCCACCGAACCTACCGAAGGGGCAGACCTACAGTATCCACTGCAGGAGAGAAGACAACGGACTACGGAATGAAGCCACTATGGTGGGACAACGACCCACGGCCCCGTTACATGGGGAGCGGGCTGGGAATTATTCTGCATTCCGTAGCCTGGTAGGCATACCCAGCTATCAAGCGTGAGAAGTGAGAAGGGTTTGCAAAATTTTGCAAGCACAGAGGCACAGAATGCTTTTTTTTCTCCTTCATCTTTTTGAATCTTTTTGCTCGGGTTAATGGCCACAGTTTGTCACAAGTACTGTTCTGTTTGGCATTTGGCCATGACCCAGCGGCGCTGCCAAGGACACGTTGTTCTCCTTCCATAAGTGGTTTCTGTACGCCCACACGGTGAGTACCAAGGCTCTCATCACCAAATTTGAAGTTCCAAAAGGACTGGCTTGTGCTGATAGGCCAGGCATTGTAAGAAGGTCCCTGATTGACGTGAACAGTGATGTTTTCACGTTCAAAACAGGGCGACCGGTGAGCTGAATGGTGGGTATGAAATGCTGCGCGCGCATTCATATCTATATCTATATATATATATGTGTGTTATTGAGCAAGTGCGGGTGCCGCCTGCAGCGGCGGGGCTTTTTCTTGAGCCATAAGTGCCACCGTTTGATTTGTGGCGTGTCATCCTTGTGCAAAAGAAGGAGGCCTATGCTAATCTGCACATGACGAAAAAACTTGTTACACTTCTCGGTTCCAGTGTCAAAAGGCTTTTGCCTTCCACACTCCCCCTTGCCGTAATACGGCAACCCGAGAAAATTCCATGGCCTGCATTAGGCCCCAAAAAAGCCCTCTCAGACGTCGTAGACCTCGTCGAAGAACAACTTCGGGTCATTTGGTGGCATGTCCTCCGTAGAGCTCATCACGGAGTAGCTGCCATCGGTGATCTCTGACTCCGACTCCCCCGCCTGGCCGTTGTCTTCTTCGTCACCAGGGACTTCGGAAGCTGGAGCATCAGGACAAACTCCATGCAGGAAATCATAGGTCTCGGTCTGGGACATCTGACCGCATCGACGTCTGATTGATATCGTCCACAGGTTCTGAGGACGACCTCAAACTCTTTGGTGGGAGAGGGGCCTGCAATGCCCTCAACATCGCAGTGCGAGCTGTTTCACCCTCTCTGATGGAAATCGTAGGTCCATCCGCCCATCTGTTCGGCCGTGGTTTTGGCCGCATCAAAACCGTGCTCCCTTTCGGGAAGGCTGAGTTCACGAAGGGCTCTTCCAACGTGGGCAACATTGGATCCACGCTGTACCCTTCTGCCTGTTTCACCTCCTTTGATGCACTTGAACTGGTACAGGGCGAAGTAGACCTCCCAGCCATCGCCGTCGCTTTCGCCATCACCCGAAGTACATCAACCGGATCTTCTTTTGGAAGCCCATCATACGAAGTCACCGAGCCCGTAACGCCGGCAGATCCCGCCACCGACCAACTTCCATCTGAAGTCATAGAAGGTGCCGACCCCCTTGACGTCAACGGTCCCGCATGCCCTTCAGCTTGGATAACTCCCAGCGCCACACGCCCCCTTTCCAATGCAGTCACCTGTCCCCTTCTCTGACTGCTCGAAGAAGCGCCTGCTTGTACTGGAGGTCTCCATGGTTTTTCTTGCGCAGGAGGATCCCACTGAACGACGTCCGGATGAAGTCTTGGAACTTCTGAAGAAGATGCACCTGCCTGCGTCGACTCCTTCAACCGGAAAAAGTTCAACCCCTCCATTGACCATGAACAGGCGGGTCTGGGGCAACATTCCCAACTCCCCATTCATCATGCTGTATATTTTTTGTCCAACCATGGGCACCGCTCCACCAGATCACACTAGTTCTCCCAGGTTCCAGATCGCATGTCCTCACTGGGCAAGATTGGCGGACAGGATGAAACTTCCGAGACCGCCAGCTTCGGTGGACCCTGACAATCCATCCTCCACTCATCTGGGCCCATAGATCTTCATTAGCTGCGCGCGGAGGTTGGTCAAACTCCACTGCATCCCATGGCCCATGGCATCGGCGCGGGTGGACCAACCCTCACAGCGCAGACGTGGACGGGAACCCGTTGGGCTACAGTTGACTGAAGTGGTTCATGTACCCTCACTCCAGGATCTGACACAGGTTCATGTCCCCTTGTGCCACAAGCTACCTTGGTCCAAGGTCGTCACTACCGTCAACCCTATGATGGCGGCAAGCACTGCACCAGCAACTTTGGCTGTAACCCTACCTTCTGTACAACTACTAGGCTCTGCAGCACCAAGTTCATCCAAGCGGTACATGCCCATGAAGTTGTAGAACTTCGTCCATGAAGGCATCGACGTCACTGCCTTCGTCAAAAGATCGGAAGCCAATTGAGCACCAGGAACATGTCGGCTTTTCCACAAGCCCCACTTCATCCTTTCTCTGAGAACAAAACTTCGAAGACGCAAGTGTCTTGTCCGCCATGGTCCGTCTGGGCTTTCCAGTAACCGAAGACCTGATTGATTGTCCCCATAGAGCACCTTGTCGCCCTCTTCCGAAAGCTTGTTGCCCTCTAGGATGTCCAAAACAGAAGATACTGATTCACCTAGGTTCATCGCATCCGTGTACCCCAAGAGCTCTGACTCCGATGTCGACAGAGTCCCAAAAGCTTGCTGCTTTGACTCCCATTGGATGGGACATCCTCAGTACATGGCTATCAGTCCTTGGTGGCCACGACCGCCAGCTGGACCAAAGGATGCATCAGAACGCACTTCCAGCCCCAACATCGACCTGGAAAATGCCAGCTCTGAGTCCTCTCCATGTCCACCTTCACAAAGACCATAGTGAAGCACCATGTCATACGTGGATTTGAGGTACCCCAGCATGTGCTCCCCATAGCGGCAAACTCGACGAGGTGGATGGTCACCATTCTACCCATCCAAGAAACTCCAAAACTTAAGTCAGGACGTGTGCGGCAAGACAACCATAGTAGCTCGCCCACAATGCCTTGAGCCCCCCGCACATCTTGAATGCTGACCTCGCCCTCAGGCTCTTCATCCAAAACTCCAGGGAAAGGCATACTTTTGCAGATCACTCCAGGATGCCGAGAAATAAGATCTTGAGCATAGGACTTCTGGCCCAACAAAAACTCATCTCCTCTCTTGGACAACTCAAACCCACAAAACTTGATCCAACTCCCTTCCTTCACAACTTCTGGAGCTGAACACTTCCATTCCACCTGAATGCGGTTCAGCAAGGATTCCACAACTTCCGGCTCCCCACGACTGCCATGTCGTCCACATAGAGCGCCAGGAATCCCAGTGCTGCTTCATCGTCAGGACCACCAACCGTCATCAGGTTCGGCTCAGGCGTAGCCAAAAGTTGTAGCTTGCGACCATTGCAGTCCCACTGCAACATCTTCAAAACATCATGTCTGTAAGAGGTCCAATTCGAAGGACTGGAAGTAAGCCCATACATCGCATTTTCCACTTCCCACCATTCCTCCGGACCAACAATTCTGGCTTCTTGAAAGGATCTTGGGCGGCCGCATCGTCAGCAGCTTCGTGTCCGCTTCTCGCCGTGGTGCAAGTAGGAAAGCGGTCTTCACTTCCACTGTTGCGCACTGCCACTTTTTCGCTCCAGTTTTTCTCAACAACGCTCGAAGCAGAACTCCATCTGCTCCCCCGGCATAGTTGGCAAAGAGTGAATCTCCAGGCCCACCAGGAAGACCTTCTGCAGCAAATTGGCCATCGGGGTTCTTCGCCTCGATGCGGTTGCCACAAATGACTATCCGGGCCCGACGTTTTCCATGAGGAGCTTTCACAGTAGGTACCAACATAGCTGGCGCCACCTCCATCTGATCATACCGAGGGTCCTTTTGAAGCTCCTTCTCCGTTGTGACCTTCAAAGCCCCAGTGATCTCCGTCAAGGACTTGTACTCGTCCAACAACGGTTGCTTCCAGAGCTCCAGCTCTTTTCGAACCTCCTGCAAAGGCACCGTATACGTCTGCAAAACTGTGCTGGGTGGATCTCCTGCAGCTTGGTTGACTGACGCTTCTGGTGCCTTTTTCTCCATTGAGTTCTGCACCAGTGAAGCCAACCGATGTCCCTCCAAGACCTTGTGTTGCTGCTCCAGATCCTTTTCTCTCCTCAGGACGTCTTCCATGAGAAGCTCCAGCCATTGACCTTGTTCTCGACCTTCATCTCCACCGGTAGCAACATGCCTCAGCTCGTTCACCCACAGTGTCTTTAATGCCCAATGTTCTTGCAGCTCTTCTTCATGAACCGCTTCAGCTTCTTCCCAAGAGCATGTTGGCATTGTAGCACGCGACACCTGATTATTAAAGCCCAAACCAGTTGATGAAGTTGTTGAAAAACATTTTTTTTGGCCAGCCCGCATTGCATGAAGGGCTGGCACATCGTCAGGCTCATCTCCCCAAAAGCGGGACAACATTGCCATATTCGTCCAGAACACCATCGGCTGGACCATCATCCAAAAATCTTCAGGGCGACCACCTCCCCCAGAACCAGCATCTCCCCCAGAGCCACGAGCTTGTTCTCCACGGTCAAGAGCTGTTCCTGTTCGAGGTAGTAGATGTCCATCAGGGTGTTGTTGTGGAAGTGGTACCTTGGGCAACTCAGGGTCCGGCGGTTGCTTTGACCACATCCGGGTCAACTTCAACTAGTTCCATGACCGCACGGTCTGCTCCAGGGTCCGTCTTGATCACCAGCTTCGAATGCTGCAGTTGTGACCCTTCCATGCGCACATACCCCGTACTCATCAATGGTGAAGGTCCCATCAACGTCATCGTCCGGAATGCCGGTACCAATGGTCCTTGGCCAAGTCGATGCCACCTTTTTGTCTTCACCGTGACCTTCGACCCGATGGGAAGCAATGGCTTCGTTGGCACACCCAGCGACGGCAACTGACTTTTCAAGCGCTCCTGCCCCACATAGCGAGCAATGCCCTCACTAAGACCACTTTCTCTCACCAGCATTCTCAAACGTTTTTTCACCTGTTGAACCTCACTTTCTATGCGACCGTTACTGGGTCCTTCATCTCCTCCTGTCATCGTCTGCCAGACCACCATCTTCCGGCACCAAGCTTGGAACTGTTGTGACAAGAAGGCGGTTTCCCTGTCTGTATGAATTCTTAATGGTGCCACGCCCATCGCCCGGTAGCGGCAGTAGAGCTTCGAAGCTTGACATGGTCCAACCATTTTTGATTCAGGGCCTCGACCTCCTCCTCTGACACCATTTCTGCTGGCTCATCGTCCACAACATCCAACTTAGGCAGGTTGGTGTCCCCAGCGTCTTCCAAAGCATCTTTTGGCTCTTCCTTTTCTTTCTCCATCGTGATGCGTAGAATGGCAACTGTGGCAACCATCATGTATTTCGCCTTGGGTGGGATTCCATTTCCAGGAGCCAAACCCACTGGCATGGGACCCGCAATGTCCAAGGACAGACAATAGCTCGCTCGATCACCAGGAGTTCGTCGGTGATGTCCATCTGAGCCCATCATCTCCAAACATCTGCGGCAATCCCTTCTGTAGGGTCGATGTTGCATCGCCACATGTTTTTTCCATGCCGCTGTATCCATCTTTTTCATGTCAGCCTGCTCCCTGTTCACCTCCTGCTTATCCAGGTTGTGTCGGAGCCGAAGCGCTTCAACAATAGCTGCAACAAGTCCTGGAGACCATTCTGCCCAAGACCTTGAAGTTGCATGCGGCTGTCCAGATCTCCAGACACTTCATCTGTTGACCCACCGCCTCTAAGACCATCTAATTCAGGAAGTCCAGAAAAGTTTGACGAAAAAACTTGTTACACTTGTCGGTTCCAGTGTCAAAAAGCTTTTGCCTTCCACAATTATATATATATACACATACATTTACTGTAATTATATACATACATATGCATATATATATATATGTACATAATATCTACATACATATCTATACTTATTTATCATGGGGGTTTGTGCGCGCACAATGGACATGTGGAACGCGTTGAACACGCAATCAGATTTTTGTAGCACATGCGCAGCGACGCATCATCTACGTGAATCAGAACCCGTGGGTGATGGGGTGCTTTCACGGACACATGACATGCCAGATAAAATCAAACAACTCGCATAGACAGACACACTAGATAAGCACGCACACCTTTGTACTTCATACATGGTGTTCTCTTCCTCTTTGATATGAGTTCCGAGCTTCTCCCTGAACCGAAGACGAAACGATTGTCTCACTGACTCACTGACATCCCTGACATCCCTGCACCAGGAGAGTTCGTAGCCTCTGGAGCGTGAAGTCCCAGCTGGGGATGGGCATGGCCAGTATTGCTAATATTGCTCAGCCACGACAGCACGAGCAAATCTCTTGGTCACAAACTTTCTTCATCAGGCTGCTGTGCAACTGTCGTGCTGGCTGCGGGCTAGGAGACTAGTAAATAGTGGATACTTTGGACTCTGGACATTCTTGGACGCAGCTGCGAAGGGGTCTCTCCTTGCTTCAACCGTCCTTAGCTTTGGTTTGCTGGCTGATGCTTCCCTAGGTCCATATCACAAAGAGCAAGAAGATCTACGTTTCGAACGACAACGGCTACTTGAAAAAATAAGAACATCATGTGTGTGTGTGTGTTGATTCCTCACCTAGAAGCTTGTGAGGACACACCCAAAAAAGGGACCAAAGTGAGATCAATCAGGGTCTTGGACGATTTCTTTGCTTCTTTCCTAGCGGCCATTGACCCGGGAATTCTGCAAGCCATCGGATTGGGTGTCAAACAAGTTTTGGCCCTGAACCTGCAGCGCCCCAGACGAACTGACACGGAAATAGATGTCAAAGGTCTATATTTTGTACATCTTACGTCATCTTACATAATCTTACATCATCTTGAATCATGATACGAACGCTGGAGCCATTTGCTGCAGCAAGTCTCTACCGCCCTTGGCCGTTTGTTTCTTCAGCCAGCGAGCTGAACCATCTCAGGAGTGTTGCACGAGTTGACCTATGACGGGATGCAGTTTGTGATCAAGCAGCTTGCCATCCATCGGACATCTGCTCTTTCCTAGATGTCCTAGCACCATCGTATAGTGATATTAGTGAATATTAGTGATTCATTGGTGGTTGCGCACATCATTGGTGAGTTGATCTTGAGTTGATGTTAGTTCTACTACTCATTACCATTGTATCATTTAGCTGTCCAGTAGCTGAAGAAATGCAATTTCACCTTAGGAGAACTGGGAAAGTTGGAATACTACTTCAAGTCGTTCTCTTCAGCTACCGATTCCTAGGGAAAGCTACGAACGATTCAGCGACAGCATTGGGCCCAGCAACATGCAGGCAATTTGCGGGCATGCTCTTGGGACACAGTGGGTTTCCTTTTGGGTTCCTGGTCTGGTTGGGATTGCGCATCGTCGAGACTTTGAAGTCGCCGTTGTGCCCGTTTGAAGCGGAACTGATGGCCAGGGTTTCAAATCTGCGGGAGCTGGGGGAGCGTTCCAGCTTGAGTTGGCCCACAATCCTCATTGAGCCTCAAGGGTGCAATTTGGTTGAGCGGAACTCTGTGTGCAAAAGCATCTTGAGATTGCACGAGATTTCATGTGGCACCTGCTTGAGTTGATTTCAAGCATATTTTCGGCCGAAAAACGGTTGGCAACTGGCCTCCGGGAATTCCCATAGCTCCCAGCTCTCTTGGCCTTAAAGCCCGGTTGCAACGTACCGTACCTGCCACGAATAGTTCCTATGTGGAATTGTACCCCAATTTTAGGGGACAGTCATGGACAGTCTACTTGAATTGAAGGTTCAGAAAGTCTCAGTTTTTTCTTGGTTAACTCCCCATTGTTGATCTCTTGATTGCGGACGGACATATGAGCAAGGGTCAAAAGACGCTATGAAAGGCTTCCATTACGATCCGCCATCACTACTCAAAATATGTGATTTACTGCGTGTAGCGATAGGGGGCCTTATGTAGCGATACCTCTTTTTAGACTCTGTTTATGATTGAAGCTTCCTGTTGGGCACATGACTTTCCAATCTTTTGATGTCAGAGCGCGACACTGGAGCAGTCGCAGTGGGCTGGTCTTCCTGGGTAGTTGCAAGATGGCCTGTCGTCAAGTATATATGAGATAGTTACATTAAACAATATTGATATATTGGGGTATGTTGATATGCAAGAAACTAATTCATAACGCATCATGAGCTTGATGATGGTGATGATGCTGATGATGATGGTGATGGTGATGATGTTGATTCAGATAGTGACCGTGCTGAGATATGTTGAAAAAGCATCCTTGTGCGGTCACGGACCGGACGCTTCTCCAAAGCCACTGTCCAGGAGTAGAATTGCAACATGGAGCTTGTCAGAATTTCGTGTCCCTTGAAACATACACCTGAGATCACACATTTTCTGGTCCCCGTAGCGATGCCCGAAGCGATACCCCTCGATACCCAGAGCGATACCTGAAATCCATGAAATTAGGGAGTACCCCACATGGTCACTTGAAACTATACAACTTGTGCTATAGGTGGAAAAATATGGGAAGTATGAACAAGGGTACCCTCAAGTTCTTACTGGGTTAGTTCTTAAAGGGTTCATTTGGTCAGGGTTTTGCCGATTCATTTTGGCGTGGTATTAGGTTGCAAAAAGGAGGCGGGGTGAAGAAAAAAAGGCGCCGGAAACAAGGCAGCACAGGCAAGATAAGCCAAGACAAGCCAACACAAGCCAAGGGCAGCCTCCGAGGTCAGATGACCTGCAGTGAGTCCGGCTGGTGTCTAGCTGAAGCTGTCGACGTCAGCCTTGGTGATCAAGTAAAAGTTTGAATTTCCCTGGAGATACCATCGCAAGGGGAATAAGAATCCGATTCCTCATCTGGATCCTCCTCTTCTAGCAGCAATTCTGCCTAGTTGGTGAAAAGGGCGCTGGGACTGTGTGTAGCGATAGGGGGCCTTATGAAGCGATGCCATGACCTCACCACATGAATTGAGTTTTGACCGTCGCACATATGGAAATGATTGGAATTGACATGAACCGACTACATTCTTGAGAGCAACTATGAAAACAAACTGTTGCCATAGTTACCGCAAAGTGGAAATTGGATTTAAAGGGGTCTAAACTCGATTTTAAGCCCTTTTCAGGTATCAAGTCCTGCTTTCAGGCATTATGTTCGAATGGAAGCTGGGGGTACTTGTTTGTTCCGTGAATGGCGCGCATTCGATGATTATCTTATATTATCTTGCTTCATTGCCTAGATTCAAATGTTGCCCATGCATTCTTTCCCAAGTATCAGGACCGTTAAATTCAGTTTTTTCCTCTTGACATCATGCTCACTAAACCATTGTGGAGTCATGTGAGAATTTCGTTCTGGGCTTAATTCAAATCTAAATCTTGTTTTGTATTCCTTGTGCAGGTTCTATCTGACACATATTCTGACAGTTTGCCTGACATGGTTCTGAAATATTTTTGATATTTTATCCGACATTCATTCTGAGGTATAATATTCTGACATTTTATCTGGCATGATGTTCGGGTCCGGCGAGCCCCAGAGAGCCTGCGAGCTGGCTCTAGCGGAGCAGAGAAGAGGCGCAGAGGAGAAGGAAGAGGATGAGGAGAAGGAGAAGGACAAAGAGGAGAAGGAGGAGAAGGAGGAGGAAGAGGAGGAAACTGACAACAAACCCGTAGAGGCCCTCACCTTCAGGTGGGGAAAACCAATTGAATCCAGAGCCGAGAGACGAGAAGGACCTGGTTTCGTTGCCAAGATTTGATCCAAACTCAAGATCTCAGCTGTTTTTGGCCACGTGAATGCAGTTTGAATTCAAATTCAACCTTGTCCAATTCTTATGAACTGGTGTGGTGGCCGAGGGGCCTTGAATTCGATCTCAAGTTTTTTTGAATCTGGAGCCAAGCCGTTTGAGAATTTAGGAATGAAACATGCCCTTTCCATATTTCTGTCGGTGACCAGTACCTTCCTGGCAAATTGACCCCGCCATCCCACTTCCTATATTATATTGACATACATGATATATCTGACATACATGGCCGTTGATCACTTTCCGTGCTCTATGCAGGTCTTTTCTGACGAGCAGACTGTGCTCTATGAGAAGTCAGGAGGAGGCCACTTCCACGTGAAAGTCGTTGGCCAATGGGAGAAACAACTTGGCATCTGGACGATTCTGGAGGGTATCCAGGTATGGATGCAAGAGCCTGGGGATCTATGGGTCAAACAAAGGGAGTCTATGTTTGGTGATCCAAATACTATTTGGTGATCACTATACTAAGTGATCATTTTAATTTTCAAAGATGTATACAGTATACTGATACTGCAACTATTAGAATGATCAAATGCCGATACATGGCAGGGGATGGCTTGCAATGGTGAACATGTTAGTTTGAGAGTCAGTACATCAATTTTGGAGGTACCATGGGGTACCATATTTACAGACGAAAGCCGCAATATGGATCATTGGGTATAACTATGTGTAAGTTAGTATAGTGTAACTATCTCAGGGACCCGGGGATGGATATTGATAGATATTTTGATGGATTGATTACTTGAAAGATTCTGTGGCGGATATTGATTCTGAGTGATGGTGATGCCTGGATGAATCTTGCTGGTTTCACTTCGATCATCTTCCATCCCTGGGGTTGTACCAATTATTGCCCAATGGCTGGGGAAAATAACAAGCACGTGTCCCCAGGTGTCCGCACGGCGAGATAGATGAATAAACACCCCGTCTTGATTCATGTTGGCTTTGGGTTTTTCAAATTCCAAAGCTTCCTCTTCAGCTGTAGTCAGCTTGATTTCCTGTATTTTGATACTTTTCAACGTTCCCGACCGCGGAAAAACTGCCTTACAGCGAGGAAAGTGCTGAAGCGCGGCGAGGTGGAGGATGATTTGCCATCCATCAAGGAGGCCATGGTGGCCATGCTCTGGGGGATTGATTTCTCCGTGGCACACCTTTCTGTTACAACTTTTACATTCACACTTTGCATCATTTTGCGTCATTTTGCGTCATTTTGCGTCATTTTGCATCATATTGCGTCATCTTGCATCATTTTGCGTCATCTTGCATCATTTTGCGTCATTTTGCGTCATTTTGCGTCATTTTGCGTCATCTTGCATCATTTTGCGTCATTTTGCATCATTTTGCGTCATCTTGCATCATCTTGCGTCATCTTGCATCATTTTGCGTCATTTTGCATCATTTTGCGTCATCTTGCATCATTTTGCGTCATTTTGCGTCATTTTGCGTCATATTGCATCATTTTGCATCATTTTGCGTCATCTTGCATCATTTTGCGTCATTTTGCGTCATTTTGCATGATTTTGCGTCATCTTGCATGATTTTGCGTCATCTTGCATCATTTTGCGTCATTTCGCGTCATTTTGCATCATTTTGCGTCATCTTGCATCATCTTGCGTCATCTTGCATCATTTTGCGTCATTTTGCGTCATTTTGCGTCATCTTGCATCATTTTGCGTCATTTTGCATCATTTTGCGTCATCTTGCGTCATGTTGCATCATTTTGCATCATTTTGCGTCATCTTGCATCATTTTGCGTCATTTTGCGTCATTTTGCATGATTTTGCGTCATCTTGCATGATTTTGCGTAATCTTGCATCATTTTGCGTCATTTCGCGTCATTTTGCATCATTTTGCGTCATCTTGCATCATATTGCGTCATCTTGCATCATTTTGCGTCATCTTGCATCATTTTGCGTCATCTTGCATCATTTTGCGTCGTTTTGCGTCATCTTGCATCATTTTGCGTCATTTTGCGTCATTTTGCGTCATTTTGCGTCATTTTGCATCATTTTGCGTCATCTTGCATCATCTTGCGTCATCTTGCATCATTTTGCGTCATTTTGCGTCATGTTGCATCATTTTGCATCATTTTGCGTCATTTCGCGTCATTTTGCATCATTTGGCGTCATTTTGCGTCATCTTGCATCATTTTGCATCATTTTGCGTCATTTTGCGTCATCTTGCATCATTTTGCGACATCTTTCATCATTTTGCGTCATTTTGCGTCATTTTGCGTCATTTTGCGTCATTTTGCGTCATTTTGCATCATTTTGCGTCATTTTGCGTCATGTTGCATCATTTTGCATGATTTTGCGTCATCTTGCATCATTTTGCGTCATTTTGCGTCATTTTGCATGATTTTGCGTCATCTTGCATCATTTTGCGTTATCTTGCATCATTTTGCGTCATTTTGCGTCATCTTGCATCATTTTGCGTCATTTTGCGTCATTTTGCGTCATTTTGCGTCATTTTGCGTCATCTTGCATCATCTTGCATCATTTTGCGTCATTTTGCGTCATTTTGCGTCATTTTGCATGATTTTGCGTCATCTTGCATGATTTTGCGGCATCTTGCATCATTTTGCGTCATTTTGCGTCATTTTGCGTCATTTTGCGTCATCTTGCATATTTTAAGTCATCTTGCATCATTTTGCGTCATTTTGCGTCATGTTGCATCATTTTGCATCATTTTGCGTCATTTTGCATCATTTTGCGTCATCTTGCATCATTTTGCATCATGCATCATTTTGCGTCATTTTGCATCATTTTGCGTCATTTTGCGTCATTTTGCATCATTTTGCGTCATTTTGCATCATTTTGCGCATCATTTTGCGTCATTTTGCGTCATTTTGCATCATTTTGCGTCATTTTGCATCATTTTGCGTCATCTTGCATCATTTTGCGTCATTTTGCATCATGTTGCGTCATTTTGCATCATTTTGCGTTGCATGATGCTCTCTTTAAGCATCTTTAAGCTGTTCGCATGTATGTTTGGCTCATGGCCATCTTTCTGTCTTGTGATGGTGCTTTACTTCAAGTGTTTCAAGTCAGGCAGGCACAAGCCACTGATGAAATCGCATTTTTCCCAGATGACGCGCCATTTCCAGGTGCGTAAGAACAGCACTGAGACCCTCATTGCCACCATGGGCTTCAAGGGCTTGGAAGTCTTTTCCTTGACGGGCCCAGTTACGGCAACGGCTACGCCGGCTGCTGCACCAGCCGCAGCTGAAGCTGCACCAGCCGCGGCTGAAGCTGCCCCAGCCGCAGCTGATGCTCCAGCTGTGCCGGCAACTGAAGCAGCTGCGGAGCCGGCGCAAGACGCTCCAGCTGAGGCAGCTGAGGCAGCTCCAGCAGCTGAGGCAGCTCCAGCAGCTGAGGCAGCTCCAGCAGCTGAGGCAGCTCCAGCAGCTGAGGCAGCTCCAGCATCTGAGGCAGCTCCAGCTGAGTGAGGTGCACATTGTACACTACGGCCTGAGAAGCAGATCAGCATGTTCTAATGCAAAATGGTGGAAATTAGCTATCACCAAGTAAGCCTGGAAGGTGGTCCCGACCGGCTTATGTGTTTGGAGACTTGGAAGCCACTGATAGGATCGGGATGAATTTCGATTTTAGATTTTGGGGGGACAGGCCTTATTGGGCCCTACTGGTGCCGTGTTGGTTCCGAGAAGCGGGAGCCGGTAGCCAACCATACTTGCAGGACGCAGGGTCAGCAGGCAGCAACCTCTAGAGATTAGCTCTTTGTGACTTGTTTCTCCAGGGTGAGGGTCATTTTGCAGTCCAGGAAGAGATCAAACATGTGTACTGTAAGAGTTATCGAAAGCCGGCCAGTTGACTTATGAATGCTTCTCAGTGGGCACTACGCGTTGTAGCTGTGCCTCTCTGATTTCATATGGCAGAGCTGTTTCAGCTGCCATTGGATGAATGGAAATGCAGAGCAGGGAAGTTTCTTTAAAGCCAACAGGCCAGAGAGACCAGCGGCACATGGGATTTGTCCCATGAGAGTCGGGCCCAGCTCCATCCTTGTAATTGCCAGCATTGGTTCATTGCGCCCACCGCAGGTAGGATGCACTGTAGAATGTCTTGTCGGCATCCTTCACGTCCATGGAAAACAAATTGTATTTTGGGGCCTATGCGGTGTAAGGGGCCACAATCCAAAACAATCAAATATCAAATCCGAATTGGGTCGATCTGCTTCCATTCGTGGTACTTGGGGGGCCCTTCTTGTTAGGGGGAAGCGATTAGCCAGAGAAACGCTGCATGCTTGCGTGTTGCAACTGTTCTGGCTATTATTGGAATCTATGAATCTGTTGAAAGTTGGCGCAGTAAATAATAACGCGTGCATATGCATTTGTCGCTGATGGTGACATGCTGTACACCTTTCCACCAGGTAGACAATGTTTGCAATCACTTCATCACCCTCCTTCATTATCTTCCCTTTGGCACCTGAACTCTGTTGCAAAAGTATCGCTATCTCAGTTACCTTGGAACATCATCGCATGGCAGCACTTGGTATTGAAGATGACGCAAAAAGCAGGCAAATCAGGTTCCACGCCCCATTCTGATCATTCTGGGCCTCGCAATGACAAAGATGTCAAAGGCTGGCAGCTGGAAGGATGGGGCCATAGCCTCTTGTACCACGAACACATGCGAACCAGAATCGGCCATCGGTGGCCACCAAAGGCGATGCTGTATGGTGAAGCTGCCGCAGCATGAGATTTTGAATGTGTGGATCTTGCTGAACCATCAACAAATCAACGACGAACATTGCGAGCATACATGAATGTTAGACAAAATATGACAAAATGATGCTGGGAGATTCCTTACCTTGGCTTCAGTGCATTCTTGCCAGCCCGGCGTTGGTTGAGGGATACCCCATCATGGAAATCCACTATAGGCTCATTAGGTTATTAGGCAGATTGTAGCCACCAAGCAGAAGTTTTATTCAACAGCTTTGGGTTGGCACAGACCTGTTGAATCCGCGTCATCTCTATTTTTTGTTGTAGGAATGAAGGCGGTCGGGGATGTTCTGTAAAGCTGGAACTCTTCCAAACAAATCCCAAAAAGGTATTGTTACTTTCCTGTATATATAGTCCTTTCTGCTGAGAGTGCGCGAGGTCCATCATTGCCTAGCAAGACCCAGTAATCGATTGATGTCAGAGATAACTTGTGTGTAACTGTGTGTATATATATACACACGCACGCACGTACGTAATATATATAATTATATATATATAATTCGGTATACATGCATATATAAATAAATACACACACGCATATATATATATATATATTTGAATGCTTCTTGTGCACTGGCCTTGGCAAATCTTCCTTGGGCTTGTCTTTGGGTGTGAGAGCCAGCCGATAAGCAGGGGTGACATTCCCAACATGTGGATTGAAAGGAGCGCGCACAAATCAGGGCGTAAACGGCTGTTTATGCACAGAGCAAATTGTTGGTGCTCCCCCTATCGTCAAGTGATGTCAAGTGCTTTGCCGTAGAAAATGACGCAAAACATACTGGTGAAGAGATGTAAAAAGAGAAATCCATGCGTCTTGGCTCACCAACGGTGCAGCATGGCGCAGCGTAAAGATGCCGATGTACACCCGTGTTGCCCAGGCCATGCCTGTTGGAAACGGTCAGTTTCACTTTTGTGCAAGCGCTACCCCAAGGGTGGCGAACAGTACAATAGGAATGATGATTGGCGAAGTGCAGTTGATAACAGCTGACACTGTTCCAATCAAGAAGTCTCAGGAGATCATTTGAGAGGGTGATCATCAGGCTTCCAGACTCTTCATACTGTTGCAACTAGACTAAGTTGACTAAAACTTAATTAGATCCAAGACATCCTGGATATTTTGAGCACCAAGGTTGCTCAGAAGATCCTGTCTTTGGAAATAGTCATGGAACTTCCGTTTCCTTTCCATGTGATCTCCCAATCTGCTATTTTCCTTCTGATGCGAGAGACGAAGCGCGTTTCTCGAGAAAATGGGCTATCTCGCCTGACATTTGGCAGTACGGACCCCCAAATCATGACACCGATGGACAAAAACCAGGAAGCTGGGCCCACA